TACGCTGTCACTATACCCTCTTCTTTACCTTACTGTGAGTCTTTGTTTGTTTTTCGGTTTCAGGACTGTCTTGTTTCTGGGTTGCTAACAATTATTTCCTCAGGCCTTTCAGTAGAATTGTAAAGTGCTCAGCGAATCCTCAACATTCTTGTTATACATGCCACGTGCCCACTTGCGACCTAACCTACTTAGTCTGTTGTACACAGTTACTGTTACTACTTCGTGAAATCAATCATTGCATTTTGTCACTCTGCATACTACAGGTGACAGCAAAACTTCATCCAGGTAGCTTTCATGTGCTCTTAGTGACCATAGTAAAATATATGTTGTTGAATAAGTCCAATCAAAGGTTCACGACCGTGAGAAAAAAAATATTCAAAACGGATAAGAACGTGTAGTATAAAAAGTCAAGATACACTAAAACTAGAAGTTCTTTGGTGAGTTTCGAATTTCTAGACTTTGTTGAGTAACTTAAATCTTAAGGTTGTCGAGATACATTTTTGATTTTTGAAGTATTGATTTCAAAATTAGATGACGAAGTTTTTCTTCTCATCTTTTCAGATTTAGAAATAATCGAATGTAAGTTGTAAATTTAACCGGTGCTTGAGAAAATGTACAAGTTCGTCAGTGGCCTTTTCTAAATGGATATTCTCTGAAGCGTGATTTGGTGTATATATTTATTCATAACTTGTTATGGTAAAGGAAATTATCAAAGATGTGATAATACACAATTACTTCATTCTAATCATTCTGTACTGAACGGTTTGCAAGTTTATCTCTCCCAGCAGAGCCGAATAGGGTTTTTTTCAGCACCATTTTGTTTTCTCTTCTTTGAAAACTTTCCTATAAAGTAATATCTTGCTTGATTTGAGAAGATAACGATTCCGCGAATACTCATCGCTTGATAACGATGTTCCTCATAACACTCTTATAATATAAAATACCAAATCGTTTTAGGCCAGAAATTGAAGATTTAAGAGTTCAGAGATACGTTCTAAAGGTATTAAATATGTCGAAAAGTGCTTCATCTAAGCTGGCTAGTTATTGAGAGAGATATGTAGTAAAGCCTACACAATACTAATCTGGTGTGGATGTATGACCGAGAAGATGGAGTGTTCCCAGTAAAACAAATGAGGTCAGCATCAACATGGAAAGCCTACAGAACCGTTTATTTTGGGGGTTTCTGTAAGCACAGAGACGGTGACGCTGAAGTCTTTCCACAAGACATCTTAAATGAGCTATGAAAACAGTTTTACATAGTTCCAAGACTCAGACACTGAGAGGTTTCTTTTCTGCAGTGGAAAATGCAATGCTGAAGTCTCTCGGAAGGCATGATGTGAGTAGGGTATCGCTGCTGTTCACCTATAGCATTCCAAATCTATTGCCATCGAGGTAAATGAAGCTTTCGGTCGTTCATTCGTCTGTCCTGTGAGTAGTGGTACATAAATTCTTAAAATTAATAGCTCTGTAAGTTTTCAACTTTTATGCTGACCTTATTAGTATAATTGAGCGCACCCATTGTTTAGGACACTCAGTCAAGCATCAACACCGGATGACGTTTAGCCGGCTTAAATTCCACACATTACGATACATTGACATATATCTCAGATATACTTTCGTATCCATTTATTCACGGTCACTGGTTTCTTTGCTTCTTAAGTCATTTCACAAGGAGACTTTGCAGACAGTACTTTTGTCAAATTATGCGTAACCATTAACCTCTTCATGCACGTATTCTCTTGGATGTCAAAATATTATCATTAATAGAACGCCTATATCTTCAAGTAGCGCCATAGAAGAAGTATGATATGGCCATCATGTCAGAATAGATCGCTTCATACAATCGTTTGTGGTGTGGCAATGACGTAAGAATAAAAATTTCAAGTTGTCACAGCACTCTGGATAAACCCTAGTAGACTAAATGTATTCACTCTCATTTTGCCTCCACTGGTTAATTTACTGATCAACTCTTAACAAAAATTTCAATCCCTGGTCCGAGAGGATACACGACGTTTGTTACGGGCAGCACATTAGTGCGTATGCTAGATTTTATCAAGTGTCTGAAGTCCTTAGATAGTCTGGAGAGAAAAGATCATGGACTTCGTAAACTTCCGATGTTAACATTCTTGACAGTTCATACTATTATTTGTGTTATGACTTGACCTAGCCGTCGCCAATTTGTTATGTTTTTGACCTAGACCGTAGCCAATTGTTATGACTTGATCAAGGTCGTCGCTGATTCGTTATGACCTAACGAATTTAACAAGGACGTAATCCGCGTAAATTATCCACCAATAGAATACGACTTCTACGACCTTCACACTGTGACAATGACGTTCGATTAGTATGAGTAATCTAGCGTCCTTATTGGCCCTTATCCGCCTAACCCGTCCACTTGAGTCCAAAACACCAATAGCAGCCTCGGCAATACGAATCCTTTATTTCAAGCATACTTTGTTTATATATCAGACAGACAGGCCACATCATACCATAAAATAGAAAATAATATTTGTACAAAACCAAGCCAAATGAGGCTGTAAGCGTGGGAGACAATAATCAATAAAACCGAGTATAACATAGGGACAGTAAATCATATAGTAATAATCAATAGGTCAAAATAAAGCTTAGATAATCTAGTAACCGAATAGTTATACAATAAGAATGATAGTCCAATAGTAGGTCCTGCAAGTTACCCGTATTTATGTCTTCGCTACTACATAACAATTTGTAAGGATGAACTTTTCAGATTTGCAGAGCTTCAGGAAGTCTGATATAGTATTCCTATCAGAAAGCATACTCATTTATTTTTTTGCTACTGAATAAAAAACCTTATTATTTTATTCTAAGGTATCGGATTTTCCATATTTTTTTCGAGAGGATATGAAAGTACAACCTCTCCATCTACAATGTCTCAGCTACTAAAATAAAACGACCGAAAATAGTGAGAGCTTTTTTTAATTTTTTAGAAAAAATAGGGGGAAGCAGAACCGAGTCATTAAATTGTGAGTGATTAAAATGTATCGTTACATGTTATGAGGAACTTTAAAGTTATTGGAGTAACTTGTTATACATTTTTTTAGGCATAATCATTTTATCTTTATGAAGTTCGCACTCAAAAACTACCTAAATTTTGATAGCGTAACAAGAAAACGAAGATTATCAGAAATATGAGATACATTAGCGCAATACATTTCGAACAATCTGATCACTCATGTACTTGTTAAGAACATTTATATATAAAAATAAAGCGTCAACGAGACGAATTGAAGGTAAGGGGAGATAAGGGATAATAAAGAAAATAATGCGAAAACAGTTTGAAACCTTATCACTTTGAATAATAAGCTAATGTTAACAGGGTAGGTGTAAGGTGAGAAAAAACTGTTTTTGAATACACAAAGGGGGTTAGAATTTTCGTATAGCTAAGGCTACAATGAACCTTAGTATACACCCTTTTAAACTTTTATACAACACCACAAAAGCCGAGTGGTAAATCTTATGGGGTGTTTCTGTAATATGTTTGACAATAGAGGATGATGGATGTTTATCCTCTATTGGATCATTTGATTTGATATGTTTCTTCAACCATCTCTGCTAACCATTTAGGTACATGGTTAGACATCTTAATTTTGAGATCACGACTACTACTCCCTATGTATGTGTGACCATATACACACACAATCAAACTGGTAAAGACACTGGGATGTGACGCATTCATTTTCATGTCTTCTAAGTTTTTAATGAAGCATAGACCTTGTTCAAAATATATTGCGTTAATAGATATCACATACATTAAATAGGAATAATAATAATAATAATAATAATAATAATAATAATAATAATATGCTTACTAGTGACTGACTTCAAGGTACATATCCTGGAGTTCTAGTGGGAAGCAGTGACCAGTGGAGTTCATCCAGGTCTGTTGTGAGATATCAACTCACTGATGACATTGGTGAACGGTCGCTCAAAATCGTGGATTGGTTGAAGTTAGACATTAACACCGTTGGATGCCGGCTCAGTGGTCTATCGGTTAAGGGCTTCGGCTCGAAACTGGTGGGTCCTGGGTTCGAATCTCGCGGGTGCGGGATCGTGGATGCGCACTGCTGAGGAGTCCCATAATAGGACGAAACGGCCGTCCAGTGCTTCCAGGTTTTCGATGGTGGTCCAGCTTCAATCGACTCATGATTTCAACTTTGAAATAATATATTTGTAAAATCTCAGCGAATGAATTTGTAGTAAATTCAACGTTTCGCCTGGCAATCTGGTCCAAGCTTTTTCAAGGAATTCAAGATAATTCCTGAGATTTTACAAATATATTATTCCTATTTAATGTCTTACATCAACTCGGCGCTCAAATACTGTGAAACTATTCGCTCTAATTTAGACGAGAGTTCTTAGATATCACATAGTTCTGAAAATCTTCGTTTTCTTATTACACTATCGAAATTAAGTAAGTTTTATCATATTCACTCAAAACTCGAATATTTCCGATCGATCAAGTGTTTATCAAACAAATTCATTCATTTATTGTTATTGCGGTAATTTGATATGAAATTTGTTTTCAATCAGATACAAATACCGATATCTGTATTACAAGGGACATATGAGAAATAATAGTAGTGTATAGGATAAAGTAAATTTAGTAAGTATATGAATGATTTTTATGTCAATCATACTTTAATAAAAAACATAATGTTCTTATTTATTGGTTATTTGGTTATTTGACTGCTATCCACCCAAATTGCACAAAAATATTTGTAGACATACACATATACTTATGCTATTAGTCAATCTGATTTACTATTAGTATAACTATGCTTTATCCCATGTAAGGTATTTAGAATAATCAATTAAAATAGATCTCATAATACCCCTATTCTTCTTGTTCTTCTCCCTTTCTTTTAGTACATATTTGCTTACCTGTTTGTAATTGAATAATATATATAATTTACATTTTTAGAAAACTTGATCTTTTTCTTTTCTTTTCATGTTGAATAATCATGTCGGATATAACTGGAAAACAAAATGTTGAAAATTTTCTATCAAAATTTCGTGATCCACAAACACATCGTTTTCATTCAGTTACTGCATTAGATTTTCTTAAATGTTGGCAACATTATGATATAGATGGTAATGGTTATTTAGAAGGTGATGAATTAAATGAATTCTTACGAGAATTTATTACTAGTGTTATACCTGATGAAATTGGTAGTGAAATAATATCAGAAACAGCAATGCAACAATTAATGACAGAAGTTATGGATGCATATGATGAAAATAATGATGGACGTATTGATATTAATGAATTATGTCAAATATTACCAACTGAAGAAACATTTTTAGCATTATTTCAAATAGATACACCATTATCATCTAGTGTAGAATTTATGCGTGTATGGAAACAATTTGATACAGATTTAAGTGGTTCAATTGATTCAAATGAATTAAAACAATTTTTAAAACATTTAATTGTTATATCCAAGGTTGAATTATCTGATGAGAAATTAAATGAATATGCTGAAACATTAATTCATTTATTTGATCGTAATGGTGATGGTAAATTACAATTAAGTGAAATGGCTAGATTATTAAAAGTAAAAGAGAATTATCTTATTAAACCATTATTTAATAATAATAATCATTGTTTAGATGATAGAACCATTGATAGAATATTTCGTAAATATGATACTGATAATAATGGTGTATTAGAAAATGAAGAATTAATGGGTTTTTTAAAAGATTTATTAGAAGCTAATGGTGAAGAAGTTAATGAAGAAGGTTTAAAAATTATGAAAGAAGGTATATTAAAACAATGGGATATTAATAATGATGGTAAAATTGGTCGTCAAGAAATTAATGATTTAATATTACAAACAATTCATATATTACAAGAAAAAGAACATTTAAAAAAAGTCAATAATTTATGAATCAACTAATGAAATGTTGTTTGTTTCTTTTTTTAAACAACAACTTTACTTTCTATTTATATTAATAATAATAATAATAATCTATCAATACAGTTTTATTTGAGATGAGAAAAAAAAGAAAAAACGAAAAAACGAAAAAAGAAAAAAAAGAAAAACGAAAAAAGAAAAAAGAAGATCACAACAAAATAATTCATCTAATTAAATAATAATCTTTTATTTATTTTGACCTTTCTTTTCTTATACGAATAGAATGTAATTCTTAATAAATGATCTTTGTTATTTATGTTTTCTTTCTATCTTTATATATATAAAAAAATTTCTATTCAATTCATGTTTTGTCCTGTGCAGCCTGTTACCACTCGTGGAGGAGCATGGGTCATCCACCAGCATTCTCCATTCAACTCTGTCCTGGGTAAAAGCTGCTGTCCCCAGGGAGGATCGAACTCCTGACTGCTGGTTTACAAGACCAGTGCTTTGACCATTGAGCTATGGAAGTCGAAAAGGTCATTCGAAAGTAGTGGATGTGTCATGCCTTCAGGAGAGTGGACATCACATGCCCTATCCAACCTTGTGCATGGGACTGCCAGTCATCTCTCCTTTTCTGATGCACCGTTATTATTCCTATTCAATTCATATCAAAGATTTATTCTGTGTTGAATAAGTTCATAGAATATTGAATTCTTGATATTCAGTAAAATATGTAAGCGAACAATAATATTGTTTTTGATTAGATCCTTATCAGGCTTTATTCTAATATACAGTAATAATAACATTTCGTATATGCATATAAATATTATTATATATTAGAGTAAAGCCTTATTGAGGATCTAATCGAAAACAACATTATTGTTTGCTTATATATGTTGTTCTAAATCGTAATATGGGAATTTTTCAAAATTCAGCAAAATGTTATATATAACTTAATTAAACTTGATAAAGTTATGAGATAATTCATTAATCAAATGATCATAAGCTATAGTCTTGATATACTTTTGTGATTTCCTGAAACTCATCAGTCTATTCAATGAAACATTGATGTAATGAAATTGAAGAACCTAATCATGTTGTTAAACATTTATTACTATACCTAATAGGACCCTACTTCACAGATTACTTAAACTACTAATGAATCTTGAAAATAAACTTATATATTGAGCTTTTTTGATAGATATTTTGTTTGTGAATGGAATGCCTTTCTAACCTTGTTGAATCAATAAGAGACTGACCAGTTGCAGTCCTAAGCATCAATGGGAAGTTTCAAAGAAACAATACTAATTGAATTTAAACTTCACCCCATTGCACAAGCAAGTGTCTATCAGGACTCAATAGCTGAGTTGATAACGCGATGGCGTTTGAAGCGAAAGATACTGGGTTCAAGTCACAGAGTTAACATCAACTCTGAAATTCAGGTACATCCAGCTGACGAGTCCCAAATGGGACGAAACGCGCGTCGTGGATTCCACTGCTATCCACTATCCATTTTTGCTTATAATGCTTGTTGAATCATGTTATTATTTTTAGCAAAAACTAAATAGAACTAAGAACGTTAGTTAAATAAAAAAATATCTTTTAAAAATGAAGATTTAAAGTGAATATAAGTGAAATCCAAGTACTTTCAATTATAAAGGTCAAAAGGGTATAACTAGTATATATTTTAACTAAAAATAAACTAAGACAAAGTATTTGACAAATAAAATCAACTTTTACTCATTATTTAAAATAAAATTACATGTGAGACTTATTTATAGAACAAACCAGATTTCAGTTGAGGAAGAAATCAGGAAGAAGCTCTGGAAGTGGATAGGACATACATTAAGGAAATCACCCAACTGTGTCACAACACAAGCCTTCACATTGAACCATGTAGGCCAAAGGAGAAGAGGAAGACCAAAGAACACATTACGCCAAGAAATGGAGACAGGCATGAGAAGAATAAACAAAATTTGGATAGAACTAGAAAGGAAGGCACAGGACAGAGTGGGTTGGAGAATGGTGGTCGGAGGCCTATGCTCCATTGGGGGCAACAGGCGTAAGTAAGTAAATAAGTACAATAACACAATAATTCAATCATTATATAGTCCTATTATTCTCAAGTTTCCTCTATGGTGGTAATAAAAATTTAAAGTGGAGTTAACTTTTTCTCATGATAGTCTATACAGAATATGCAATTAATGATACTGGTAATTAGTTTTGGAAACAATTATTCATTTATAAGAAAAGTAAAGTTTATGCAAAGGAAATATTTTTCACTATAGAAATAAATACAGACACTATGTGGTCAATGTTACAATGAGAAAATCATCGTACAAAAAAGCTTAGCAATTAAATTAATGACTACTACTACTACTATCACTACTACTACTGTAATGAACAGAACACTGGTTGGGGACAATCGAATGCATTTAAGCAAACATTACAGACTATCTCAGTAAATTCTGATTACTAAACAATGAACAGTCAATTTGCAAATTAACAACAATTTGTTTCAATCTTCACTGTTTCTTCTCTTATTCCATTGCTCATGCATTTTCCAAACGATTGCGCTTCATTTCAGTTCTTTCCTCATCGGTATTCTGCGAAAATACATTCTATGTCTGATCCACACCATATACTACTTATATGGATATAAGTAGACAACACCACACTACTACTACCACTACTACTACTACTACTACTACTACTACTACTACTATTACCACTACTACTACTACTACTACTACTACTAAAGATAGTATTAATAACAATAGAATACGTTTATTATGAAATCATATAACCCATGATTTTTAGTCTGTGGTTTTTAACAGATTGACACGCTCAGTTAAGATTAAAATGCTATCAAGTATGTCCTCAACCAATAATTTATAACTTTAAGAAATAATGCTATTTTGTTTCCTACTTAGCTTGTCAGATTATATTGTTTTGATTATTCCGCTAAAATCTGTTTCTATTTATATATTTCAATGTATCAATGTATGAAAACTTGACGTTTATTCATATGATGATACAAAGATGATTTGGTTTAACACCTATAAACATTTACTTTATATAAAATAATGATCTAAGTATGACGAAATAGAGTGATGTCATTCATTAATTTAATAATTAATTATCTGATTTATTGAAAACTAACTTTTATTAGAATTTGATATCATTTAGAAGATAAGTTTAAGATGATGGATGAATGTTTTTATCCATTAAAATGAATAACAAATATGAATCATACCACTACCTAATCATTCTACTATCTCACTATTTCACATCGATTGCTGAGTTAATTTGTAAAATGTTTACAGTAAGACAGAATGAAATATTACTGGTTCTATTCGGTGAATATTTGAAAAAGTTATGTCCAAAATGAAAAGTTGGTGAATAAAGTCAATTAAATAATTATCTGTTAACAATTATTTCTGATGTAGAGGATCCAGCAAGAATTAGGATATTCTTAGATTATTATTATTTGTTATATCGATTGAATGCGTGCTTGCCTTGTTTAATGCATGAAGTTATGAGACCGCCAATTGGAGAGCGCAATGTTTCATCGATCGGATCAAAAATGCACAAAAGCCGTATGAGCAGTCTTGAGTACTTATCAGTTCTGCTTTCTGCCTAGCCCAGCCAGTTAAGTCCAAAACATCAATAACAGCCTCTGCAATATGAATCATTATTGGGTCTATATACCAAACAAACAGACCACATCGTACAATAAAATAGAAAATAACATTTGTACAAAATATGACCAAATGTGGCTGTGAATAGGGAGAACAGTAATTAGTATATTGGAGATAACTCACAAATGGCAAATCGTACAGTAATAGTCTATGAGTCAAAATAAAGCCCATAATAAAAGGAACATGAATATGAATAGTTAAGTTACTTAGCAATCATGCAATAGGAAATATACATATCACACTGGTCCATAAATAGTCCTCAAAGTTATCATTCATAATTCTTCATGGGATATAACATTATTATTATTAACTTCCATGGTTATTCAAAATTACTTTCTTGTCACATAATATAGTTTAATAACCGAAACACTTTGAAACTTTATTTTCGACCCATTACTACATATTTGGATGACGTATTTATAAACTTAAGGAAGTTGATACTTCTTCAAATATTTGAGCCTAAATCAACTAGAGCTCCAAAAACAAACATTAAAACTAAGCTATATAAATAATAGTTATGTTTATAGTGCTTATTTAATACTACAAAAAACAGTCCAATTGTTCTCTAGCTACTCTACAGCTTTCCCAATATTCCAAAATATCCAGAATGAGGGATTAAAGTAAGCTTTCTGACTTAAACTGAAGTTGGAAAAGTTATATTTAATCAACAGCGAAGGGAAGTTATGGACTCTGGTAGATTAAACTAGGAGATCTTTATAAATTATATTGTAGTTTTAATAGTTAAGTTGAATGAGATACTCGCGAGAGTCTGTGTGCTGCATGGAATTCCATGTAACTAGTCTCGATTTCTTGTCGTACCAGTATATAAGAAATAACTAAACTCTTTCCACCATAATCATACACGAACTAATTTAAATAATGTAATATCAAGAACGTTGCCTTACTGATCATCCAATGCCTAATCAAGGCTCAGCAGCAGCAAAAGTGCGAGAACTAAGCTAGTTTCACCCCAACTATAGCGGGATTTATTAACTATGAAGCAGCAATCTACTCCATTGACCGGCAAGTTGTATAGGAGTGTATATCATTGTAAGGTGTGCTAACGGAGCATAAAAAACTTTCACATGTTCTCTACTTGGACAGTATCATCGAGTCAAAGCTTAGAGAGAAATAGAGTAAGATTTGATAGCATCCACTGATATACTTTATGGTTGTCCATTCCCTTCTTTCTTGTTTGACTTGTTATAAGCATTATTTTAAAGGGAACACTTTCTTCCTTTAACTTTTAAGAATCTTTGACCAAGAGTATTAATTGGTAGCTTAAAGTATATAAATGATATATTTCTATGTGGTGAAGTCCTTTACAATATTCAGAGGCTTTTAATCTCCACGATCAACAGTACAAGGATGTTTAAGATGCGTTTCGCTCGTTGTAAGTGTAAAACGCTACTCTAGGAATATGTTACGTCAGTGCCTAAAGCATTCGCAAAGAGGAAAGAATTTAGATGGGCCGAATACGCTTTGAATCTTGAAAGTCTCATCAGCCTTAGCCAGTTTGCATCTGATGAAATCTTAGCATAGATTTAGGAAGCTCGATTGGCTTTTACCAACGTACATCACTTAGAGCGTAGGTGAAATGTCCATCTGTAAAATGTGATAGAAGGGACATGCGTATAGATTTCACTAGGAACCTCATTTCCCTTGAGATTATGGATACGAATTGCTGATGGATACCAAATGTTACAACCTGAATCTTAGGCTTCCTGTGTAACAGAAAACAATGTACACCACAACGTTTATTTATCGGGAGATGGACGATCGTAAGACAAAATAAATATCAATACTCCATGTTCTATGGTCAGTCAGTGTATGTGCAACTGTATTATGTCCATAATTGTTTACGTTCAATTCATATCTAGCTCCAACTGAACATATGAAAACCTTACTATGTGAATAAACTGAATTTATCTATGAAGCCAGGTAAATTGGACTCTTACAGTCGTAAACTAACAAAAGTGTAGGCTATATATATATATATATATATATATATATATATATATATATATATATATATATATATATAAAGACATAAGTCAAAGATAATCAATCAAGATCATAGTCAATAGAACAAGCTATCAGTTACATATGGCGACATTTGAATTGATCATTTCTACCTGCAGTTTGTGTTGATGATAATTCCTAGAAAAAATAATTAAAACTTTACAATTAAAGCGCACATTTCGAAAAATAGAACTCCACCAGAAATTCTTTAAAAACAAAAACATTAATTGTTTATTATCATGCAAGCAATATTGTATGATTTAATTCTATTGAACTCGTTTAATAACTTAATTTTAAAATTCGTTCACAACCACTGACTATTTTACATATCAATTATTTTGTAAGAAAAACATAAACATTCGTGAATTACTCTCTCCCTCTCTCTCTGCTAATTGTAACTATTTGAAATAAATATAAATAATGGATAGTTGCTAGTAGTGAATTCCTAGACGCGCGTTTCGTCCTATTTGAAACTCGTCAGCTGGATGTACCCGCATTTCAGAGTTGATGTTCAATCTGGGACTCGAACCTAGTATCGTTCGCTTCAAACGTCATCGCGTTATCCACTTAGCTACTGAGTCCTGATAGCTTATAAAGCTGCTTATAAAACTTATGACTTTAGGCAATATTGAGGCAATTCGCACAGGATGCAATATATACCAACAACAGAATGATCAATTGCAGTCCTAAGTAATAACACTATGTGAATTTAAATACAAAAGATATTTTTATTTGTATAAAAACTGAAAATAAAACCGCGGGAAAAAAAGATAATATTGAAAAATCATACATATTCTTATAACAATTAAAACAAAAATGAATTTTGAACAATGTACAAAGTGAAAAAAAAATCAAAATCAAAATATAAAAAGAAACAAATAAAATTTATAATTGATCTGAGTATTTGTCCAATTTTTTTTTTTTTAATTTTCTTTTTTCTTTTATCAAATCAATAATTTCTTATTCACAAAGCATATACTTTTTAAATTCTTCAAATTCAATAGTTCCATTATTATCAAGATCACAATATTTAAATGCTTTTTCAACATCTTTACTTCCTAATTTTGAACTATATTTATCCATATATTTTTTAAATTCATTTTTATCAATTTTTCCATTATGATTAATATCAACTTGAGCAAAGATGTACCACCAAAATTGATCACTATAATTAAGAGTAAATTTCAAAGAAATGAAATAAAATTTCATTATTCATCTTAATTTGTAATAATAATTATATATATGGTTGAGATCATTAGTCAATTGAAGCTAGACTATCATGGAAAACTTGGAAGCACTAAACAATCGTTTCATCCTATTGTGGGACTCCAATGCTTCCAGATTTTTCATGCTGGTCTAGCTTCAATTGACTTATGATATCAGCTATATAAAATTATTAAAATCTTCATAAAACCCCCTTCTAATAATAAAAATATATATTAAATAGTAGTTGTATTCTTGTTACATTTATGATTTATTAGCTAATAACATGATCTAGATTGATAATAAGACGTATTTAGTTGAATAATGATGTAATAAAATACAATTATCATTCTTATGACAAGCTGGATATCTTTTGTTTCAAACGAACCAATGGGAAAATAAGATTCTAAATACTATGATAAAGAAAAAATCAAGACAATAGAAAATATAATTTCAATAGTGTGATAAGAAGACGAAGATTATCAGATATATGTGAAACATTAGAGCAATACATTTCGAACAATCACACGATCACACATAATATACTTGTTAAGAACATTTATATAGAAAAGCCAAAGATCAACTAGACTAGAAATGGGAGGGGTAAGAGTAGACAAGAATAATAATAATAACATGAAAACAGTTTGAAACCTTATCACTATCTTGCCAACCACATAATCGAAAAAGGCCATAAGATTGATTTTAACTCGGCTTTTATAGTGTTGCATAAAAATGTAAAAGGTCTATTGAAGTCTTAGCCATACGAAAATTCAAACCCCCTTTGTATATTCAAAAACAGTTTGTTCTCACCTTAAACCCACCCTGTTAATATTAGCTTATTATTCAGAGTGATAAGGTTTCAAACTGTTTTCCCATTTTATTTTATTTATTATCTTTGTCACCTTTCACCCCCCATTTCCAGTCTAGTTGATCTTTGGCTTTTATATATAAATGTTCTTAACAAGCATATATGTGATCAGATTGTTCGAAATGTATAGCACTAATATATCATATAGTTCCGATAATCTTCGTCTTTTTATTACACTATCGAAATTTATCAAAGGGACTAATTGCTTTAGAAAATATAATGTTGTACTGTAGTGTATTTTGCTACTAGAACTTATGAAGGAATCAACTGTAAGAGATAATTTCAGTTTAAGTGAATGTCGATGAAACCGAATGAATATAACCAAGAAATATCATGAATTTAATTTTTCTTTTTAAACAGAGATTAAAAGTAAGAATCATTACGACGATATATTATAAGGTGATTTTCGCTTAAAACGTCTATTTATTTAAACATAAACTATAAATTTCATTTTTACAGTTAAATGATAATTGAACAGTAGGATAAACGATTGAATACATTTATTCTTTTATCATCCCACCAAAGGTGGGATGTCTTAACATATATAGTGAAAGTTCAGAAACTAAGTGATCATATGTTGTAGAACAGCTATGATGAATAGTCTGAGAACTTTGATCCTCTGATAAAACTTCAGTGACAAAATGTTTCCACTCTTTTTATAAGTTTTAAAATTTAAAACAAATTAATGGTGATGCATATTTTTTTAAAAATGTTTTTTTATTCATTCAACAACTAGGAATCTTTAGTATCTTCACTCCCTAGTTCAATTTACATACAAACAACGCATTGGAAACATTGAATAATGAGTAGTCTTATCGTATAACCCATCTCTAAAGTAGTTTAGTATGAATTCTCACTGTGAAGTATATTTGCCTTCTTTTCTAGGAAAACCTCGAATTGTCTAGCACTTATCAATAAAAGATAGTTCTCAAATGAACTTATCACTTAAGATTTTATTGTGAGTATTATTGATTTATTATATAATCATTATGTATGATACCAAATACTTTGGAATTCTTTCAAATAAATCACTTATGATTGGATCCAAAAGTTCATACTCAACTTAACTAACTATTATAATGTTTGCTTGAACTATGACAGTGTTTCACTGCTGTCACATAATTTTATTCGTAATAAGTAGGTTAATTAAAGTACCTATGAATTCCACTGTTAGCCACTATCCATTTTTGCTTATAAATCTTGTGACTTCAGGCAGTAACGATGCAATCCGCACAGGATTCACATATGCCAACAAGAGACTGATCATTTGCAGTCTTAAATAACAATAGGAAGATACAAGTAAACAACACCATGTGAATATAAACTCTACTATGTTAGTCTGAACCAGTTAATATGAAAAGTAAATATGTTAACATTTAACCATTTTCGCTAATTAATAACTTTATACTAGGAATATTCAATTTCAAACAACTAATGAAATAATGTCACGGTGACTCATCCAATGTGACCACTATTCACGGTAGTGAAAAATGGATGATAGATTAGTTGCATTCATGATAATGGAATTAGGTTTACGAATTATGGATACAGTGAACGATTTTATGTGAATCCTTCTCATTTATCTTTCAGTATAGTTATATAAGTTGAGATCTAGTTAATAATTTCTATCTACGAAATGGCCATCCAGTGCTTCCAGGTTTTCTACAGTGGTCTAGCTTCAACTGACTCATGATTTCAACTATGAAAATACTGAAATCTGCAGACACACAAAAACCCTCCTAATTTCTATACAATTATTTATTTGTGTATAGTATTCAATAAATTTTTATTTGTAAATTTTTGTGATTCATTTTATATATATATAGTTGAAATCATGAGTCAGTTGAACTTAGACCACCATGGAAAACCTAGAAGCACTGGACGGCCGTTTCGTTCCATTGTGGGACCCCTCAGTAGTGCACATCCACGATCCCGCATTCGAGAAATTCAAACCCAGGACTCACCGGTCTTGCGTCAGAGCACTTGACCGACAGACCACTGAGCCGGCGTCCGATGTTGTTAATGACTAACTTCAACCAATCCACGAAGTTAAGCAACCATTCGCCAATGTCTTCAGTGAGTTGATATCTCCCAACAGACCTGGTTGAACTCCACTGGTCACTGATTCTCACTAGAACTCCAGGAAATACCTCATGGAGACAGCCACTGCTGAAGAGTCCCACAATGGGACGAAACAGCCATCCAGTGCTTTCAGGTTTTCTACGGTGGTCTAGCTTCAATTGTCTCATGATTTCAACTATATATAAAAAAATTACTTAAAATCTCCACAGAAAACCTCCATTTATTTTATATATTCATAGAAATATTTTACTTACCTATTAAGTTTTCGATTATAATCGACATGAAAAGCTTCCATTTCTATGATAACTTTTAATATGTTTCTATACACTGGTTTTGATAGATACTATTCAACTTTCAATGGTATACTCTTCTATTTGAAGAATTAAAGTCTATTGAAGATAATATTACTAATGTAAATCACTTATACAAATATAATAATGTTTAAAATAATTTACATTTCTGATAGTAACATTATTCTAATTATATACAGAATTAATTGGAAGGTTATTGATTTTTTATTAGTGAACTAATTTTATAACAATGTTACTAAAAATAGTTGCCATGTCAAATATAAAGTTTTAAAAAAACAACCAATGAGAGTAATTTGTTTTTCTTCCAAATAAAAAATGACAAATAATTAGGTATTTTTAGTTAAACAAAAATCATGTTACTTGTGTACGTGAATGTGAATATAAAACAATTTTTTTAAAAAAAATCATTAAATGTTGCTAATTTATCATGTTACTAAGTAAATAAAATCTTACACTTTCATTGAGAAATTATTATCCGTAATATTGTTTAAATATATCAACAAAATTCTTTTCACATGAACCCATTGCATAGTTTCAATTTAACTTGAGTTTTTGATTTCTGTAATCATATCTATTAAGCAAAGATGAATGGTTGCTTGTAGTGAAATCCAAGACGCTCGTTCTGTCGTATTCAGGACTCATCAGCTGGATGTATCTGCATCCCAGAGTTGATGTTCACTCTGGGACTAGAACCCAGTACTGTTAGCCATCGAGTTGCTCACTTAGCTACTGAGCTCTGATAGCCACATGTATAGTTCCAATTTAACTAAGGTTTTCGATTTCTGTAATCATATCTATTAAGCAAAGATGGATGGTGGCTCCTAATTGGGACTCGTCATCTGGACGTATCTGCATTTCAGAGTGGATATCAACTCCGAGACTTGAACATAGTACTGTTTGCTTCATACGCCATCGCATTACCCATTTATCTATTGAGTCCTGATAGAAATCGGATGAAGTTTTAATTTATTTGGTATTGTTTGTTTGAATTTTCCCATTGATGTTTGGGACTACAATGAGAAGATTCAAACAAACAACACAAAATGAATTATATTTGTTAAATTATAATTAATTTACTTTAAACCTGGTAAAAGTCAAATTTCAGTAATATTCAGCGATTATCTTTTAGTCGTATCTACTAACTTTCCTCAGAAATGATTTATATCTCTTCAGTGTTGAATCAAGCCCAATGTTTTGATATTTTTTTTATTTCATTTGAGCTAAAGATATAAGTATGGTCAAATAAAACTGGTATAACTTTTCTGTTGCTAAGTCTTCGGTCGATGGGTGATTGTTAATGTACAACCAGTCAGTTACGTATCACGACTGAATTTACCATTACTACATCAGTGCGTCGAATTGAAATTAATAAGACAAATACCATAGTAGTAAAAATAATATTGGTGACGGTGAAAATAGATTAAATAAAAAATATGATTCCAGAAGTAAATGTAAATGAACAGATAAAATTTATTTGGTATATACTTACGATAGCCGATCAATAATTTAGGGTTGTGACTAGCTTAATTTAGACTTTCAAACCACTTGTCTATTTGTTTTTACCTTGACTTATGTCACTCACTATGATCCAGCATAGTTTTCTGCTTTATTACCCCGACATAGATGTTGGAGAACATTTGTTACCGTGAAATATCTTTATTACTTTGACGGGACACTTGACGTTAAGTTTGTCACCTTTTGTATTTCTAATGACTTTACCATCTGAAGCCTAGAACGAATCTTGAATACAAGTGTTTCATGTTTCCTATCATCATTCATGGACGTTTTACATTGGCTTGGTTTCATAATCATCAAACTTTTTGTTGGGATGACCCTGCATTTTACTCGCAAGCGACATGACAAGCTCATGGGTCATCAAGGAGCATTTCAATCAATCAGCGATTAATTAGAATTTATGTGAAGTTATGTTACTAAAATAACGAAAATGAAAAAGTCACATTTGGAGATCTTAATTGGCTGATAAAGACACTGCTACTATGTTTAGCAGTATTCTAGAACCTTCAGTAAAACTCAAGGACTCTTAAATTACTATAAAATCCCCGTATTTTCTATACATAAATGAACCCTGTAGTAAAGTGCTCCCCACACACTTTGTGCTTTTTCTCTGGTCTTCAAGTCGGTGTATAGTTCTAGCTCGGAGGTACGGAACTAGCTTAGGAAAGCGAATATAGCTTTCACAATCGGCCAGACGTAACACTTTTAAACTGCCAGATGCTTATATTAGGAACTAAAATTATTAAAGAATGGATCCTATTGAAATCTAGATAATTGATGAATCAGGTCAGTGGAAAAGTGAAAACGACTATCGTTTAAAAGATTGAGGGAATAGAGTTTCCTAAATGATTTCAAGCTTACTTCAGATCAGATAACCCGCTAAAGCCGTCAATTATCTCTGTAAGTCTAAGTCCGAAAAGTACTTCTGTGGGATATTAGACAGTATAACCTGAACGAACTGTTATCTTTTTCCTCAAAATTTATTCAATATGGACAGCGTCAGTCTTGAAATTATCAACTTATTCTTAAGTACAAATATCATAATCACTGAACTTCTTTGTCGACTTGGATATCACTTTCATGATATATGATTGAACTCTATTGATTCAGTGGTTCGAATTTATCCATTTTCGCGGTACAATGAAATTGTAAAATTGGTAAAAATGTAAAATATCCTAAATATTTTAAAGTGATAAATATATGGAAGTTATTTGACACAAACTATCTATAAGGTCTATAAAAATAAAAGATACTAACTACGAATGAATTTCAATATAGGGGCTCGAACTAACAGATTCTAAAATGCATACAAGACAGCTACAGGGATTTTAACCAGAAAGAATCAAGGTTCTACCTCAATGAACAATTAGAGAAACTTTCCGAGTTTTTAATAACTTTTAGTTATTTCGAATCTAATAGTCCATAAAATTAAATTTTTTTTTCAAAGCGATTTACCACAACTTTGTATGCATGTTTCAGTATGTAAAATCAATTTAAAAAACCCATATTTTCGAAATAAAACTTCTAATATATTGATGATTGAAAGTATACTGGTTGATTTTTCACTGTGATTGAATAATATTACATTTAAATTTCAAAAACCTATAGCCTACTAATTTGTTGGGTAAACAAAATAGTTAGAAAAGTAAGTAACTGAAATTTAGAACCATTCAGTCTGTAGGTGTCAAATGGAACAAGATATTCATTATAAATTTTGTCAACAATTATTACCGAATATCATAAATGTTTATAAGCATTGCCTTGGTGCCTCAATTTAATTATTATCGTAAACTAAAATGAACTAGAAAGAAAACAGTGAATACTAGTGAATAGTCAACAAGAGTATTTTTCTATTATAAAACAACGTCACAATGTTTACTCTTTGATTAATAAGAAGTTGAATCATGAACCATGTCATTTCAGAAACATTAAGTTAAGTTTGATTCACTGAGCTAAAATGTAGTAGTTCACTTTTTTGAACTTATATTGATTCGCAAAATGAGGCTACTGATATCAGGTTAATGTCATTTCTGAAATTGAATAGTGTCTTGATCTGACTTCCGAGAAACTCTTATACTCTACATTTCTATCATTACAGTGTTCCAAACCCATTGATTTAAAAAAACTCATATTTCTTTTTACTTCAAGGCCTCTGACTTAGGTTGTGAGATTTACTAAATGACAAAAGTTATCTATTTCCTTGTAATCTTTAGAAGATTTCATATGAGCAGATGAAAACAAATGTCCCTTATTAAATATCATTAGGTTTAACCCATTCTTTTCATACTTAAGGTGTTTTTAGATGTCATATTTTGTGATTTTGGCTTTATTAAAATATCACTTACCGTCATTACTCTGGCAAGAACAAATTCCCTTAAGGCCATCTGCAAATCCCCTCATCTCCTACTAAAAGTCTAAAATTTCTCTGGTGATAGGCAAAACAAACATCCAAGAAAATGTTTGGATAAATCGTAGCTCAATTCAATTCATAGTAGAATAAATCTGACCAACATGAGCATTTGTTCCACTTCGGGGTAAAACTGTTCGGCGAAAACAGTCTTGGTTCTTTATATATTTAGTAATGTAAACGTTCCTTGATCAGATTAAAATTAAATATCAACTTCAATGTTTGTTTTGTATGTCCTTAACACTTTTTAATATAGTAATAATAGAGTTGTCACTTAGGCGAATTAGGGAGATTGAAGATTTATAGTTTTATTCACAAATAGAACTTAGCAAGACAACCACTGAATACCAGGATTCACCGAACAGGTATTTCATCCTGGTATGGAGTTGTAGATACTCCCCTACAATTAATTTTGTTTATGGTTAATTTTGTCGAGCCCTTTAACTAACTTATTATTTAACAGAGGGTGCTATTTGAACAGTAACAATTCATTTATTCCTTTGCATTGTTAGTACTACTATCTTGCCTATATGATCGTGTATGCCTGATCACTGTTACAACCTACGCACATAACTCTCTCCCTTTCTCTGGCTTAAATATCGCTCAATGAATCTTTCTCTTCCGCATATATATATATATATATATATATATATATATATATATATATATATATGCCTTAATCTTATTAATTGCTTTACTTCGGTTTGACTTGACCCAGTATTCACTCACTCCTGCCCATTAGACTTTCTGATCGAATTTGTTTGATGTACTTGTAACTTTGTTATCTGCACTATCCAATATTAAACTGTGTTCGGCGCTTCGTATTGCCTTCTGAATTCATACACCGTTGGGATTTATATAATAACGGTTATCAGGGTGATTGATAAACGAAGCCAAATAAATTATCTAGAATCCAAGCAACTACAAACTTTTTAGCAGTAAACAGGTTAAACGTGTACAGCATTAGACCCCCAGCTCAGTGCTCTAAAGTTTAAAGGTCCGCGTATGAAACCAAAGATTTACAGTTCGATTCCCTCTGTGGTTTCAGATGCTCAGTGCTGTAGAGTCACATACTAGGAAGAAATAGCTACCCAGTACTATCAGGTTTTCACTGGTGGTCTGCTTGACATATCAGTTCGTGATATAAATGATGAAAAGTAATAGCATTACTGAATGTCATAAAGTTTGTCCCAGTAAGGTACTACTACTGCAATATTGCAACAAATCTCTTATTAACACAAATTCAAAGTACAATCACTAAAGAATATATTTTCAGTACTCAATTTCTCCCCGTGACCGTTATTTACGAAAATTTTTTGTCTAATATCTACCACTATTTATTTTTCATTCGTTATATATTGGATCCACGAATCTCATCTCTTCATATATGAAACAAGGAGGGAAGTATACCAATCAGTCTTGTGTTTCCATTCGGTTTTTCAATTTTGAACACTACAACAACTAGTAAACTTTAGAAAAAAAAGGTGTGAACTAATACCGTTAGCGTTCACGGTAATTCATTTTAAACCATTGTTTAAACAGAAAATTTTACTGGGATTCTTTTATGCAGTTAAAAAGCGAGAAAGTCAAATGTCGTAGTGAATTATCTTTAGCTACTCGACTTCATTTTTTCTCCGCTACATTAAAAATAAATTCTGAAGAATGTTGAAGCTAGACATACTCTAAATATATCTGAAAACGTTGTTGTGTATAATTTCAGGTGTACTTTTTAAGTTATTTGTCATATGTGATCTCAATCTGTATTTAGCTTGGTCTACATTTTTTACATGCATTATTAAACGTCATGTTAGACCATTCTTATCTAGGTAAAACCGACTACAATACATCTAATGAGAAAGGAGACAATAGTATAGAGTGCTGATTAATCTATCGTAAAAATTAATTAAATACAGATTTTTGCATGTCATAAGCTGCTTACAGTTCGGTTGTGGAGCTTTCATCATCATTCTGAACAACATTATCAGCACAAACTACAGGTAGACGTGAAGTGTTTGAATTTTTCCACATAAGTTTCGTTTCCCGAGCTGAGTGGATTATTTGAAAAGTTTTCACCGTCCTTTCGGACAACTTCATTTGCACAAACTTCAGATAGAAGTGAACTAGTTGAACTCCCCCACATGACTGACAGCCTATCTTGTCGATCTTGGTTCTGATTGGTAGTTAATTACCCTTGTCCTGTCAATGCCAACGCAATTGCTTTGATTTTCACCTCCTTTAACATGACTTTTGATCATACGGTTGTCAAATGATCTTTTTAATTGGTTGATGAGAATACCCAGCTTAGAAAATGAAGTCCAACTGAAGTCCTCCACATGTGCGACAAGTTTCCACCATCTTCGTATACATATCATAACAACTAACAGAAACTGTTTTACTAATAAGTGTAAACGCCATGAGCAAACTGTAGGAAGTTGATTTTTCATTCTAGCAATGTAAATTTACCACTAACAGAATTAAAATGCTGGTCATATAGAGTTAAAATCAGTGAAACATTGTTCAGTAATGTTTCGTATATTTCTTTGCTCATAAGTAAGTATGTGCTTTTGAGAATAAACTGTAATCAACAATAACACAGCTTTCTATTGAAATACTATTTATGAGGATTTAACGAGACTTTCATGGATTGATAGCACTGAACGGCTATTTACGCTCTAGTATGATGTTCGGCGGTTTACATCAACGATTCCGCATGGAGAACTAGAACCTAGAACATTCTGCCTCTCACGAACGCTTAACCTTTAAATCAGAACCATACTAGAACAAAACAGCCCTCCAGTTCTTACAGTTTTTCGACGGTGTTCTAATATTGATCAGTTTACGAATTCAATGAAATTCAACGAACTCCGCAACCCCTTACTGATAACATATTATTGATTGATTTCCTAAAGGCTAATTAGAATAAGGTAGCTTGCCAATTATTATCTTGTATTAAACTAATTGGAAAAGTCACACCGAAGTAAGTAGCTGCAAGACTGGAATGTATATCATTTTCTCACCAAATTTAACAGTAATTTTGAACAATAGATAGCTGACATAAGTCATCCTTAAAATGTTGCGTCATATAACTTCCTTTCAACAGCTAATAGAAAACTGGATCGTGAAATGACAAATGTGACTCCTCATGTTTATGAACATAAATAGACATTTCATTATTATGAAAACTCCAATAAGTCAGCTTTTTAGTCATATACGAGGACTTAACATGTGGTTTCGCCTTTTATTAAAACCTTCCAAAAATAGCTACATACTACTGACAAATATTCAATTGAACAAATTACATTTCTCAGCAGAGGATATAGTCATATTATTGATCAGTTGAATGATTGACATAGTCTTACTGAACAACTCTTCTGTATAATATATTGAATAGTACGTAAGCACTTACATTTTTATTTCTTACGTCAGTAATGAATCTGCAAAAATTATTTTTTAAGGCGTAAGCACATGCAGTTATTGATCTCAGTATAAACAAATCAAAATTACTTTAGTGCGTCAAGCAAAGCATCAGTAATCTAACATATATTATTTGTAGTTTGATATTGTGAACGATTTCTAAGGATTTATAGTGTAGGAAAATGTTAGGGCAGAGATAACTGTAAGAAATGTGCCTTATGTTTCAACTTGGGAGCTAGTTACCAAGGTGACAACCATTTAGGTAAACTAAAAACATGAACAATAATAAAAAAATAATAATTGGTTCACATGATCATTTACTTTCCAGTAGGTCAATATGAATACTATATCCATGTAATAATTTCTTTTGTCTTTTTAGTGCCATGTAATTTATTGGGTTAAATGTTAGTTAACTTTCTTATGTTTACGCAGATTCAACTTAGTTTGCTGTGTAGAAAATGAAATAGGAACAGCAAAGTTCATTTGTTCCAGTTACTGAAAGCATTCAAAGGTAGGTTATTTAAATCAGTACATCAATATATCTTGATAATCCTTAACCAAGTTTTAACTTGGTAAAAATAATATTAACAGTTTTTTTATTGTAATTCTATATATCCCCAGTCTCATTAGGATGGTTGGAATAAATAATAATCTGAGCTACAAATAAACTCAGTTTAGTAACTGGCAAAATGATGCTCTATTTAAATGAGAACGATTATCCCATATCTGAATAATTATTCTATCGCAACATACTAGAAACTAATTTGGTTCTGTCTTTTCTCATCGTTAATATCCACAGTTAAAATAAACAGTCTTCCCTAATATGAAAGCAAAGACAACACCAATCACACACCAAGTTAATATTTAATGAGTTGCATGTTTAATTTTAAATAATTCGTGATATAGTAATATCCTTATCCTATATCACTGGTGAGTTTCTGACTTATAATTCGCATTGTTATGAGACTAAAAGCAGATGTAAAAATTCGATAGATTTATGCATCTTAAGAAAAATTTTTGTCACAGGTTTACACTAGTTGGGAAACAAGTAGAAACTGAAGAGAACCGGATAGCTGGTTCATTCTATTTTGTGACCGTGCAACAATACTCACCTACTATGCAGTCAGAGATGTGCCTTAAGAACCCCGATTTCGTGACCGTAGATTTATACAGTCGCTCTAAGTTTTTCACCAAGTGCTAGGACACTCATATCTATAGCTCGAATACTACAGAAAATACTACTAATGACAATATAGAACAGTCGATACAGATTATTTTGTCTTAGTTGTCACCCACTACAAGTAGAAGGGTCCCATCTGAAATCTTGACTTGTCCAAAATAACAAATAAGCTATACAAATAGGCTACCTAATAATCTTGTGAAAGTTGAAAATCTGCAAGCTGACAGAAGTATCATGACATGTTGTATTAGTTAACCATTAAATCAATATTAAAATTGTTTAATAAATTCACTAGATCAAAAATGAGAGAAATATCAGCAATGGATGACGATCGCACAATGTCGCAGTTTGACAGAAATAAATCATTAGATGTTAACTCACTAGAATGAAGGTTAAGCATTTCCCGATAAGCCTGAAGATCCTTAGATTGAGAGCTGATGTTATTCTGGATACGCATTGCTTGAGAATCCCCCATCTATCTCAAGTCAGTCCGTAATAGAAACCACCAAGTTCAAAAATACCCCATCAAATATGATAAATGATGAGTTACTGAAACGACTTATATTTGACATATTCTTGCTACTCTCAATACAAACTATATAACTTATACAAAGCGTCCCTTATTTATGTTCACATAAAAAGTATACAACTTTATTCATCCGATCACATTGATAATATCACACTCATTCACATCCCCTGACACACAAATATACAAAAAATATTTTGCAGTTTATCTATTACACGAATGACATGGAAACAGCATAATCAAACGTGTTAGTATTTACCAAATATTAGGTCAAGTTACTTCTTTTTATTATTTAAATTTGTTTTAACTCGACTAAGCTGTTCATTTACTAATGATACAATTTACATAAATTCGTGAAACGTCAGTGAATCAAATTTTTTCTATCTATTTTGATATTACAAAAGTATTATCATTAATATCATTCTACTCAGTTAATAGTCAATTGAAGCTAGACCACCATGGAAAACCTGGACTCCTTAGCAGTGAACATCCATGACCTCGCCTCGCGAGATTCAAACCCAGAACCTACCAGTCTCACCCATTCTGATAATAATAATAACAATCATATGCTCACTAGTGACTGATTTTAAGAGACATTTCCTGGAGTTCTAATGAGAAGCAGTGACCAGTGGAGTTCAACCAGATCTGTTGTGAGATATCAACTCACTGAAGACAATTGATGAACAGTCTCTCAGCCTCGTGGATTGGTTGAAGTTAGACATTAACATCACCAAATGTCGGCTGAGTGGTCTAGTTGTTAAGCTATCTGGAGCGTGGCTGGTAGGTTTTGAGTTCGAATATCTTGAGGCCGGGTCGTGGATTCACATTGCTGAGGAGTCCCACTATAGGATGAAACGGCCGCCCAGTACTTCCAGGTTTTTCATGGTGGTCTAGCTTCAATTGACTCATGATTTCAACCATAAAATTAGATATTTGAAATAATTTATTGTTGACATGGATGAAATAGCTAAACATTTTTTTATTCAATTTATAGCTTTTCTATTTATCATTTCAATATTTTTGTTATATAGACTATTAAGTTTAAAGTTTCACATTAAGAACTGGGTTTAAATAAGCAACTGTCGAATAGTTCCATACTACAATGAAATATATATGTCTAATGTTCTTTTCTTCACTTTCAATGATTATCTACTTTAAGTCAGTCGATAATGTGAAGCATCTTGACAATAATGATCATATTATACTAAGCTTATGTAAATATTCAAAAAGAAAAAAAAAAGTAAATTTTACTAAAAACAACCAAGTCATTTTTAACTACTTTTTGTATAATTCAACATAGAAATCAATACAGTCATGAATAAATGAATAACTCCATGATTGAATAGTTTTTCATATGATTTAAGTATTCTAGCTAAGTATTTCATTAGGTTGTAAGTCGGTGAATTTGTAAAATCAATCATTGGTCTTAGTGGAGTACTATACTTGTAAATCTCCATATTTAGATGATCAATTTAATCAATAAAAGATTTTCACCTAAATGATCCCGTTCAAAAAATTAAAAAAACAAACTAGAATGATTTTATATTGTCATTGTATGAAATGTATTTATTGTGACTCTTGTAAAAATTTGAGTTTAACAGAAAGAAACATTAAATGTGTATTACATGCAATTGAAAATAATCTCAAGATGATTGTTTTATTATTATTTTAAATATGTCCCTTATTATTTGTATCCATGACAACTACAGTCTTGGTAGATTTGTGTTTTTATTATAATATTATAATCAATGTAATTGTTATTTTTAAACTTTATATAATAAAAGATAATGCTTTGTTTAAGTTAATTTATTAAAATTCATGTAATTTTGTTAGTTAAGATCATGAATCAATTGAGGAGTTCCATAAAAGGATGAAACGGCCGTCTAATGCTTCCAAGTTTCCCATGGTGGTGGTAGCTTCGAATGATTCATGATCTCAACTATCAAAATTACTATATGATATCCACAAACCCCCTTCTAATAAAATTCATCTAATACTATTTATTTTACAGTGTTAAAATATCATCACACAATATGTACTTTGTAATTACCTCCTTAATTTCATTCTTTAATATATGTCGACAATTAACAGATATTTTTATCAGTAACTTTAAATTTCTGAGAAAATGTGACTTATTAATCTATGTACTAAGTTTTAAATCATTATGTTTCAACCTAGTCTCATATATCTTAGTTTGTGTGGCTAAATATTATCATTAACTATAAAAGAGCAAATCTGACTGGAAACCGAGTGTACGAACGTACACTTAGTTAGCAAGCAACAATAAACATTACTTCATAACAATTCTAATACAATCTTTTTATGAAATCATGAACTGATCTAAGTCGGATAACCATTAAAAACCTGGAAACACTGAATGGCCGTTTCTCCCTCAGCAGTGTGCGACCGAAGATCCTGAGTTCGATTCTCGAGTGTGGGATCGTGGATGGATACTGCTGAGGAGACACTCACTAGGAAGAAATTCTCGTCAAGTGTTCACTGTTTCTTGGTGGTTTTTAAACTTTAATTGATTCAGGATTTTAACAATTCCCGCACCCTCATGATGAAAATTACTATTTTTGTTAATGAATGAAGCTCCCATCAGTTTCAAACATATTATCAAATGTAGAATAGCTTTCATTATGTTTAGAATTGTTATTGTTGATCAGCCACAATCACACTTGAGCTGATTCAGTCAGTCAGTCAGTCACAATGTAGAACTTCGTACGTACGTACATCAGTTGAGCTGATTACTTACAAAGCTTCGCCTAGAGGTATTAAGAAACGGTCACCATGTAACACAAAATGAATCGTCTAGTATTCAGTCAAACATTAAATGCATATTCTGTTCATCTATTTGATTCTTTTTTACAGTATATGATTAATAACTTTTGTATTCTGTGGTCTCATACGATCAATAACTTACTTTCGAAGACGCTTTGCCACCCTAATGTCCCGAAGGAGAGGGTGGAGACTGTGTGGAAGTTTTATTAGTAGAGCTAAGTAGTAATGTGCACAGCTTATGCCTAAATATTTGCTACCAGGTTGTTCCAGACAGAAACATTAGTGATAATCTCAGAAACGTGAATAATTCGTTTACTCGCAACATCCCACCTACGCATTTATTTCCTACTTACTACGAGACCTTGAAACGACATGTCATTCTTTGTAGCCAACCTGGCAATTTACCTTCCTCTCATGAAAAAATTTCTTCCTTTCACCCACTTCTCTCACTTGATATAGAGGTACATCAACATCTTTAGTTAACTTCGGTATTCAATAGTCTGTTCAGCTTTTTATATGAATTTGAGTCATAGATTTAAAATGAGTGTGAACTGTAGATTGAATTTAAACGTTAACACCGTCAGATGCCAGCTTAGTGGTCTAGAGGTTAGGCATTCGCGTAAAGGACCAAAGGTCTAATGAGCAAATTCAAAAAAATTTGATAAAACTGGACGTATGTATGATATTAATCCTTAAAACACTGGATTATATTACTTCAAATTCCATAATAAATATCAACTATGTTATCATTAAAACCTGATTGACGATGTTCACTTAGTATGAAATCTAGGTCTCAGGTTTCTCATTGATCTTCTTCAACCATTTTAAACAGTATAATATTATAATTGATAATAAACACAAACTGTTATGTCTTGTTTAACTATCAGTATGCGCACTACAGTTGTTTTCTTCGACAAATACTAGAAGTACATTTTTCAGTTCTTATTATGATCATCTTATAATTGTTGTAATCCAACTAAATTGTCGTACATATTTTTATTTACTTTTTTTTTTAGTATTTCAAAATTCCATAATTAACCTAAAGATGAAAATCTGAAACAGATATATTTTTTAAATCAGTTGTGTTAAAATATACCAGTGACCTTCAAACTTAAAGATTATAATTTAAGTGATGTCAAGGTCATGTCTTGTTAATGAATTTCAAACTAAACTAAAACACTTGTCCTACTGTATCTAATTTCTCTTGTTTATTATGATACTCAATTTAAAAAAACGGTTCTAATTTCAAGTCTATGTTTTCACTGTTATCTAGATAACAATGAAATTTTCATAATTAAATTATTCAGCTCTCTGGGAATTCAACATCATCTAATCTATCCTGTTCTATGACGTTTTAGATAGATAGATAGATAGATATATTACCGTTTTGTTGTAATTTTTTAATGTGTTTTACACTTACATCTGTAATCAGAAGGGGTTTTGTGGAGATTTCAGTATTTTCATAGTCGGAAGCATGAGTCAATTGAAGCTAGACCACTAGGGAAAACCTGGAAGCACTGCTTGACGGCCGTTTTGTCCTGTCGTGAGACTCCTCAGCAGTGAGCATCCACGATCCCACTTCGCTAGATTCGAACCCAGGACATACCAGTCTCTCGTCAGAGTACTTAACCGATAAGCCACCGAGCCGTTATTCAACGGTGTTAACGTCTAACTTCAACCAATTCATGATGTCGTACAACCGTTCACCAATGTCTTCAGTGAGTTCCTATCCCATAACAGACGTAGTTGAACTCTACTGGTCACTGCTTCTCACTAGAACTCCAGGAAATATTTATTGAAGTCATTGGTCTATTGGTTAAGTACTCTGGCGCGAGACTGGTACGTCGTGGGTTCGAATCTCGCGAGTGCGGGATCGTGTATGCACACTGCTGAGGAGTCCCACAATAGGACGAAACGACCATCCAGTGCTTCCAGGTTTTTCATGTTGGTCTAGCTTCAATTGATTCATGCTTTAAACTATGAAAAAACTTACATTTTTATTAAATCAATGAGTCAACTAAACTAATCATTTAGTTTTAAACTTGAATAATAAATAATCTAAATTTGACTGTTGTATTTGGCATCTCTAGAAAATAAGTCAATCATTATATATTAGTGTTGACTCTTCTTCAATCTGCTTTCAGTCATTTAAGTAAAACAAAATTATGATCACTCAATAATGTAATAACAATATGAATAAAAATATAAATATTTTCTAAGATAATTAATAAGGATAGCCTATTTGATGTTATTTTTAAAATATTGTTTATTCAATAGTAGAATAACAACACTTACGTATACAGTGATACACACTCGCATGTACGTACTTACATATAGGCATTGAGGTCTTATTTAGTAATAGACAGATTAACCAGAAAAAAAATGGTATAAAAATGACTTGTTAACTCATGTTAGTTCATAATCATTTATTATTTAACGAGATGAGTTTTGTACGTGAGATTCAGTTACCAGGTAAGTTGAAGTGGCATTTTTTTAAAAAAATAAAAAGAACGATTCATCATTTTTGTTTAGTTCATTCGATGTTGATGAATGACATATAATGTTCCACTGAAAAATTCGACTTTGTTAGGTAGTATGAATTTTTATTTTGTTATATTGAGAAGACGACGTAAACTTATCATTCCATTATTACTTATCGATTGAAATGTATGAAACAAAATTTCACTTATCATAGAAAAAAACAATCCAACTATATTATACACTACCTTTCAAAGTGCTAAACATTTCTTAAGCTCATCAGATTACTATGGAAACTGTAATCATGGATTAACTAATAAAAAAAAAGTATGTAACGGAAAGAAGGATTGCAAGAAATGTCTATAATTTCTATTAGAAAACATGTCATCTTATACTTTATTTATGTATTCATTAAATTATTGTTTATTTTTGAATAAAAAGAGTCATTTACAAAATTCGGTCTTCTCTCTCTATTTGATTGTATGAACATGTCATTCTTGTATCAATTTAGTCAAGTTGAATTCATTCACTTATTAGCAGTATCTTATCAAGCGTAATAAAACTCTAATTATAATGTTTTTGGTTAGACACGCAATTCATTTTTAATTCAGATTGATATAGTAAAACATTTTATTCATTACAATGATACTAACTATTAAATGTGTATAGTCTACTGTTAACTAAATGAGTACTAAGATAGACAGAAAAGACATAACGTATTGTACAGTGATTGCAAAGAATGAATCTTTCATCAGTATCTATATATATCTTATAAGATTTACAAACGATAGATTCTGGATGTATCTAAGCCTTAATCGATATAAAAGTTTGCTATTTCCACATTTAACATTGTCCAATTCACTTATTTGTATATACCTTATTTTGGTTCTAGTTATTGTGAATAATTCTTCATTCAAATATTTCTTGTTTACCAAACATATAAAATCATTTATTTAAATAATGTTCTTTATGCTTAAGTGATTTAATGGTATGATGAAAAATAATGGAAGTTGATCAGTAACTTCAATAAGTAATACTATTTTATAGAGTTGAGATTATGAGTCAATTGAAACTAGACCACTATACCATTTCTTATGTAGTTGAAAGAAATCGTAGGTTGATTATATTGTTAAACTTAAATAAATAAAATCTACATAACAATAAAAACTAATCAATATGATATTACTAATATTACTAACTACAGCTAGTCAGTTACATGTTCGTTATGACTCAAGTAGAATACGAATGACTTCTTAGATTATGACGTTAGAGGGGAAGGGAATAGTTTATAGGATACTTTATAGTCTCAAATGAATATTTCTAATAATAACCAACAGCTTTATAACTTGAAGTATGAGCTTCTTTTGAACTAACTATTATGCTAAACTACCTAGATTGATGATCACTTTATGAACTGAGTTGACAAAACTCTCTAGACAGTACAAAAATTGAATAATTTGACATCATTAATTTTTTATATCCTGTTTTATAACAATAAAATCCCTTTAAATATTTCATTAAAATCATTCATAAAAATCTTCATATATACAGGTCACCAACAAACAATCATGAATTGTGACAGTAAGTTTAAGTAAGTTAATTATAAATTTATTCAATTGGTAGTTTCGATGCTTCATGCAAAAAAAAGAACTAATTCTATTCCGATATTATTTAAATACATACAAGAAATCAATTGTAGTTTTGATGATAATCTGTTTCAAGTTTAAATGTAATAAGTGCAAATAGTATCAATGATACCTTTATAAGTATGTTGATTAGCATATCATGATGGGTTAAGATTAATTGATTTTAAGTTAGTCTATACCACAAACAGTTTTCAGGGACGGAAATTTTTAAAAACCATGGAATAATTAATACTATCGTGATAACGGATCAACATAATCTTTATAGTTGAAATCATGAATTAATTGAAGCTAGACCAACATGGAAAACCTGGAAGAACTGGACGGTCGTTTCATCCCATTGTGGGACTCCTCAGCAGTGAGCATCCGCGATTCCGCTGAGGAGTTCCATAATAGGACGAAACGGCTGTCCAGTGCTTCCAAGTTTTCCATGGTGGTCTAGCTTCAATTGATTCATGATTTCAACTATCCGCATAATCTGTTTTATCCTTGTATGGGACCCATCAGAAGTACTCACATACGGATTCACAATAAATAACTATATTTTTATTATATGGAATTCCTGTTTTATATTGTAGACACACAACATTATATTGACTAGGTACAACTCAAAAACTATGTCAAAACACAGTGATCCCTAATTCAACTCTTGATATAGTCAAGCTCCAACTGTTTTCATTTATTTGAAATAGCATAACTTGATGACTATATCTGTAATACGTCTGTAATCAAATCATTCACAGTATGTGGCCAATTATTCTACCTTTCGGAACTATATACATTTATTTATAAACGAGAGAGATATGGAAAAGCAGTCAAAATATTACTCTGTAATCCATTGCATGATCGTGAACTGGGAAAAAATTATTATGATTGTGTAAATTATTTTTACAATAATTTTCCTAACATTGGCTCTTACTGAATATTAATCAAACACTAAACGATAACTTCGATTATAGGTATAAGTGTTAAAATACACAGACAAATTTTGCGACGTTCAACAGTTTTTCACTCAGCTCAAATATTCTAAAATCGTTCATTCTGACTATGTCGTACAAAGAATAAAGCGGATGAATGTGATTCATTTTAGAGTACTTCGATTTCATGGATATATATATATATATATATATATATATATATATATATATAAGCACATTATCTATTCATATCAATCGTAGCGTATTTATCGGCATTACAGTTGATAATACTCATGACACTAAGGGGTGAATTGCTGAATAGTGAGTGAGATTAACTACTGTTGTGATAAAAATGGTGGAATGTTTCAAAGCAAAAGTAATATTTACTTTAATTCGGTAGTTTATGATGAGATTTCTATGATCTCAATGTAATTTCGTATTGTTGACTTATTTAAGCTAGACTTGTATATCATTAGACACTGCTGAAGTGGTCTATAGATTAGGCGCTTGCATGTGAGGCCGTAAGTCCCGCGTTTGATTTCCGCTTGCAAGGTCATGGGTGAACACTGTTATGGAGTCCCATGCTAGGATGAAACGGCCATCCAATATCTTTAGGTTTTCAACTAACCTGGGTCGGTTTGTGATTTCAGTGTAATCTATACATTTTTAACTTCTAAATCAGTCATATTTCGTTATGTTTTTCGTTTTGTCTTCAATATCATATAGCGATGCATTTTGGTCAGAAGTTTTTAAAACAGTCGATAAAAATCATGATGGACGAATAAATAGAAAAGAATTTAAAAAATTCATGTTAACTAATGGCGGTGAATTTTCTTCAAATGATATACAAAAAATATTTGCCTACTGTGATACAGACAAAAGCGGTTATATCGATTTTCAGGAATTCAAAAACTTTATGGAAGGACATTGATAAACGTATTTAAGTCCAATTTGTACATCATAAATATATATATATATATATATATATATATATATATATATATATATATATCCGTTTATTTATTTAAACAAAACACTTGATTACTTTTAATGTTCTCCTATTCTTTCCATGTGTATACTATTGTTTATCTTCTGATTTGTTTGTTTTCCTGGTTTTCGAGCTGTTAAAATGACAATTACAACAGCTTCACACATTCAATTTGTGACGTTTAAGTTAAAAAGAAAAGTACCTCCAAGTATCCCATTTTCTGCTTAACATTAATTTAATTACTCTATCTATTGATGAATATATAGAGAATCAGTCATCACATTTCTTGTATTCATTAAGCATAATAAGAAAGATATTATTATTAACTTATTGATAGAAGAGAATGGCTGTTGGTTATTTTGAGTACTACATTTCCATCTTTGAGTATTTACTTAATGATTGAAAAGTCATAAGTTACGTATCAAAAATGCAGTGAATTTTTGTTCTAATGATTCTGTCTTTTAAAATTTGTTCGACCGGTTAATGGGTTAAATGATAACATCTGTTCCATTTTTTCGCTTGTAAGAATTTATGTCCTAATTTTATAGCTTTCCTGATATCATTGTCAATCACTCCCGATAAATAAAAACGTTGTGTTGGTGATAAACAATGTAGTAGATCAACGAAAACTGAAGACAGTAATTGGTCCTTTGTAAAATGTTTACTTTTTTAATTCTGTTTGGTGGTATATGTAAATGGCTACTGATACCCATATATAGGAGAGTAACCAGTGAGGGGATTAAATCAATTAGGTCTACAATGTACTTGTTGGCATCAATGTGTAGAGATAAATGTTAATATTATTTAGTAAACTATAGCCTAGAATTTTCTACTTATTTCTTATTAATAATAATCAGTAATATATATACTAAACCTCAAGGGTATTCATGCTTTCTAGAAGCTTGGATACACCTCAGGATTAACCACTTATAATAAATCATTGAATAACATGGACTTGATTTAATTGACGATTAAAAGAGTGGGTTTTTTTGTGGAGATTTAGTACTTTCATAGTTGAAAGCATGAGTCAATTGAAGCTAGACCACCATGGAAAACCTGGACTCCTCAGCAGTGAACATCCATGACCATGACCATGACGCGAGACTGGTTGGTCCTGGGTTCGAATCACGCGAGGTGGGATCGTGGATGCGCACTGCTGAGAAGCCCCGCAATAGGATGGAACGGCCATCCATTGCTTCCAGGTTTTCCCTAGTGGTCTAGCTTCAATTGACTCACGCTTTCAACTATGATTAAAAGAGTTCTTGGAATTTTAATCACACCAAACATCATGTTTATTTGAAAAAATATAGATTCCAAAAAGGTTATTTTCATAAAAGTTTTCATGCTTTACAATCCGAAATCATCTGTAAATCATTAAATTGACTCTTTAAAATGTTTTATTCTTAGTTATACACCATAAAAATGAAATTTATATTATTAAGCATACCTACCTTATTATAATATTAACAGTAGCAAGAAAGCCCTTTCTTATCTGAATAGAAAAGGTTATTCTATATGGAATTATATGAGCTGATCAATTTTGTAGTTGACATTACAACAATCCAAACAATTAATATAATAATGATACATTTGTGATATTCAGATAAGTAGGAATTCGAATCTCTGATGTTTTATATAATTTAGTTTTAAGTTGTTGCTTTAGAAAGTAAGTAAATAAATAAATAGTTAATCCATTCAAAATTAAAATATGTGTCTGATTATATTAGTGTCATGTAATTTTGGTCAAGGTGATATTGTGTAAGACATTGCTGTATGTTGTTTTTGTGTGTATATGGTATATATGAAAAATATGAAATTTATAATATGAAGGAGTTGAAATGTTAGTTGAATGAGAAATGAGTAGAATTAAGTATGTCTTTAGAAGAATAGAATATGATTATATCATGAAGTGATTAGAGATTTTTAAATATATTGATGAAACGGCCGTCCAGTGTTTTCAGGTTTTCCATGGTGGTCTAGCTTCAATTGACTCACGCTTTCAACTATAATATTGATACAAGGTTGTGTATTAACTAAGAGATTGAGAAGAGTAAGAGAATGGAAATCATTTACGGGTTAGATAATTTTCCATTTAACAGATATTAAGAAGAAATGAACAGAGTAAAGTTTAGTAATCATCATGAAAAATTACTAGAATCTAATAATAAATGAGTAAGGTTTAAAAAGTATGAAATAGTAAACAAATTTAAGTATTTCTTGACACAAGTCAAAATTATACAAAAAGACTTTACAAAAATAGAACCTATCAAGATCGACACCAACTAATCTGTAGATGCGATTCTGTATAGATGTAAAATTCAGACTAATGTATTTCCCGTTATTTAGTCTTATGTACACATTTATGATGAATACTGAACAAGAATAAACTGATTCATTCGTATTGATTATTTGAATCTTTCGACTGATGTTTAGGACTCTAATTGATCAGTCTCTTTTTGTTATATGTGCGTCCTATGAGTATTATCTCTACATAGCCATTAAGTTACAAGTATTACGACATTTGAAGCAAACGGTACGTTGTTCGAGTCCCGGGGTGAATATCAATTCACATCCAGGTACATGCATGTGACGAGTCTTAAATAGGACGAAATCCACACCCTAGATCTCATTGCTAGCCACTATCCATCTCTGCTTATCTGAATAAACTAAAGTTTCCGAACATTATTTCCAAGAAGTTATTAAGAAAAATAGATATTTGATATCGATTTTTACGGCAAAATATCCATAGACATGTTTATAAAAAAAATTATGTGCTTAAAGTAATCTTAATTACATTGTCCATATACTTTTCTCTAGTCTACTAAAGCTTAGTATTCCCTAAATCTTAATAATTATTTTGGTTCTACGGTGCTTTATCAGAGAGAGATACATGGCAACTAAAACACAAGATAAATGGCCCCAAATGGATTTATTTAACTACAGGAATGTATCAAAGAATTTATGAACACACTACACTTTATACGATTTGTGTAAACTGAACTAATCTTTATTTAGCCATAATAATTCAATAATTTACTTTGTGAATATTTACTATATTTACTATATTATACAGTTAGGCATCAATAATCCTTCTTAAGATGTGAATACATATCAAACACAATCGGAGGAAATCATTTCCATACATCATACACACTCCATCAATTAAGCCATTGCTCGATAAATGAGGATACTGAAAAATAAATTGCGGATATCCTTGATAAATATATCAGTAAGAAAATATAATTTTAACACAATGCAATGGTACTGAGGGTTCTATGAGACTATCGAATTTTGTAGTTTACATAAATGACTGGCCTTAGTTACACGACCTTTAATAAAAAGTAAGCACTGGAGAGCTATTTTGTTCCAGTACAGGACTCCTCAACATACCATACGCACGACCTGAACGGGGTTCAAACTAAAGACTTTCTGACCTCATAGGCAGTCTTTAACCTTTAGACCGCACTGAGACGTAATAGCTTTCCAGTGCTTTCTGGTTTTCAATGATTGTCAGATCAATGTCAGTCCTCAAGATAAACTATAAAAAACAAAAAAACAGCATGGTGGTCTTCAAGTTTTCAGGTCATAGGTAACAATGAACCTCAAATGAACTGAACAACATACACTAAATTTAACTCCTACTCTTAACATTCTTAATAAACTTTTAAATAACGTTCACATATATATCAAAACATCTTTACTTTCAAGTCATCACATTGAATACAATTGTAATTTTAAAATGTTAGAAATTAGTATAAATTAAAACAAATTTGAGAAAACAGTATTGTTTTCAATTAGATCTTTTTATCAGTCATTAATATATAGTAATAATTCTATTCAACTCCTCCTGTAGCCCCTCCCGGGGCTAACTCGCTAAAAAATCGCTAACCATAAATAAGTCTATTCATTTATTATAATTGATTTAGACTTCGCAGATGATCTGACTCTTCTATCACACACGTAACAACAAATGCAGGAGAAGATAACCAATGTATCAGCGGCCTCAGCAGCAGTGGGTCACAATATAAACAAAGGGAAAAGAAAGACTCTCCGATACAATACAGCATGCACCAATCGAATTACATTTGACGGAGAAGCTTTGGAGGATGTGGAAACATTTACATATCTGGGCAGCATCATTGAGGAACACGGTGGATCAGATGCAGATGTGAGGGCAAGGATCGGCAAAGCGAAAGCAGCATATTTACAACTAAAGAACATCTGGAACTCGAAACAATTGTCAACTAACACCAAGATCAGAATTTTCAATACAAAAGTCAAGCCACTTCTACTGTATGTGGTGGAAACTTGGAGAACTACGAAAGCCATCATCCAGAAAATACAGTTATTTATCAACAGCTGTCTACACAAGATAGTTCGGATCCGTTGGCCAGACACTATCAGCAACCTTTTACTGTGGGAGAAAACAAACCAGATTCCATCCAGAGGAGGAAGAAATCAGGAAGAAGCGCTGGAAGTGGATAGGACTCACATTGAGGAAATCACCCAACTGCGTCACAAGGCAAACCTTCACATGGAATCCTGAAGGCCGAAGGAGGAAAGGAAGACAAAAGAACATATTACGCCGAGAAATAGAGATAGACATGAGAAGAATGAACAAAACTTGGATAGAACTAGAAAGGAAAGTCCAGGACAAAGTGTGTTGGAGAATGCTGGTCAGCAGCCTATGCTCCATAGGGGGTAACAGGTGTAAGTAAGTAAGTAAGTAAGTAATTTAATGTAATTTATTTCAGATATTAAAAAAGAATGTAACTGTTTGTCAAATGATTTAAGCAATCATAATTTAAGAAAATTGATTTTAACAATATAATATAATAAAATTTTAAAGTTAATCAATATTTAAAATTTTTACCAATTACTATGGAATTTTGAATGTGAAATTAAAAAAAAAAGAAAAAAAACAGAAGAAAAAAACACTGATTTTTTTTATTTTTCTAATCGTTAACTAAAATGACTTTGATTAAACTATAAAAACCTATTAGATTGATCAATAATCTCGGATTTCATTGTTTGTTTGTTTTTGTATAAAGTGTGCAGTTGAAATAGACGTTAAAATATCGACAAATAATAGACATTAAAACAAAATTTGTTTTAATGTATAAATTTTTGGTTCAAAATAATAATATACAGAAAAACCTTCTTGTAAACATGCTAAAAATAGGGAGATACTAGAATAACTTTAAACTATATTTGAAGTAACTCTAAAAGAGATAAAAACGCCGGGAAATAGAAGCATATATGTAAAGGATGAATAGCAACTGAAAAAAAAACTGGAAAGGATTTCCCAGGACATAGTTGGATGGAGAATGCTGGTAAGCGGCCTATGCTCCTCCACGATGGGTAACGGGAGTAAATAAGTAAATAAGTATATTTGAAGTTAATCTGATCAAATAGATTTAAAAAATTGCTTGTCTAAAAATAACTTAGGTTTAATATGATAGGGGACAAAAACTTATGCAAAAAGATAAATTACGTTTCGGTAAAAATAATCAAGAATATGTGAATAGATTTTGTAGAGAGTATGAAATGACTAGTAAGAAGTTGGATTTATCCAGCTTGGTACATATTCGAGATCAGATGTAACTGTTATATTCTGTTATTTGGCAGATTTAGATAATGTAGAGTAGATCTTTATGTACTACCAACCTTCACAGAGTCAACGTATTCTTTATTCAATTACTAATCATCTATCAACTATTGGAGGTTATATGGAGTTTTCATTTACGTGACGAGTTTCAAGTTGATCTCTTTATGTTTGACAAAAAATTATTGACGGTTTTTTTTATCTGAGTTCTAGATTCGTAGCTAATAATTTATTTTTGTTTAATGTATTTGGTGTTTAAAGTGTTTATTTTGTAATCTTTTCCAATCAGACACAAACGATATCCCTTCGTTAAAAAGACTGGTTTCCAAAGCTTACTCGTTATCATCATCCAAGTAGCTTGATGAATACGATTTATAATAATGTTAATAGTAGGGATTGATAAGTTTCCATCTCTCCCCTTTAGATACTCAACATTTGAAACTTAATTTTTTTTCCGATTTGTCAATTTCTCAAGTATTTCATCGTTGATTTCTGGTGATGATCATTATCGAAGTTGTAAATTATACTTTGTAAAGTATGATTATTATCACTTTCCTTAAACTGAACCTCATCAACCAGTTTCTCAGCTAAGTTCCGAATATGTGACACAGATGTGCTGAGTATAGGGTTCAAGCTAGTTACTAAAACACCATCGATATAAAAGATATACAAACTTTAGGGACGAGTTTGATCTACTTGTTAGTAGTATAATTGTTCTCACGAAATTTCGTTACATGCGAAGTGGCCTTAACAATCTTTAACGTTAATGTTAGTCGTAGCATAAAACAGCTTATTTGAATGTGTGAGTACTAGCTCACCGAATTTGTACTTCAACAAAAAATCTTCGTTTTCATACTACATGGAACAGAAAGTGATTTTAAGACTGAAAATGAGTAACTGATTAGCGTCTCTTGGTTTTTGCCGATTCCCCGGTAAACTTCAAATCACTGTAGAAATTGTTACTAAATTATTAAAATGAATATGATTATAAAAAAGGAGGCTAACTTTAACCACAACGATCGCGTTACGCATTTTGTCAGACATATACAATTATTGGATAGTCACTCAATATAGAAGTATAATGTTATCCTTTTTTATTATTTGTTGTTACTTCCTTTTCTTCGTCTTCAAATATCACATTTAAATACGTTTCGTGCACATGTAGAAGTGATAATCACTATTACAAGTACAGTAAACAAGACTCTTGTCTTGACTAATTACTTAGATTTTAATTGGATCGTAAGTACATTGTCAATATTAAAGAATTAATTTACCAATATGATGGGTTAATTGAAAAACATTTAGTAATGTAAGATTCTCATCTTGAGTTTCGCATTGAACTAAAGCATGTGGGCGAATATAAATTTCATTGCTATGAGCTAAAAAAAGGGAAAAAATCTAAATATTATATTACAATAGTGTAAGATTTCTTAACATAGTCAGTCATCACAACTTAAACGTTGTGCTTGAAGGAAAAATATCCTTTGTCTTCTTAATTGAATTTGCACCAGAAGAACTCAATGTAGAATCATTTGACCTTATAGTACAGATAATTGCGTGCGAAATGTATTACATATGTGACAAAAATAATGGATTTTAATCTTTGAAAGATCAAGGATAATAACTATTCCCAGTTATTTATTTAAGGATGTCCGCTGAGACCAACAGTCTTGTTGAAACTCATTACAGACGAAGCTACTCTTTATAAATAAATTATCACAGCCATATTTTACAATAGTTCAGGATTCTATTTAACAATCTTGAATATCAACACAAAATATGTTATAGGAAAGTTAACTGAAATGCTATAGCTTTTTTTTAGCTTTTCCATTCAGTAACGAACCATAAACTTACATCTTAAAACTTTATATTCCTAAAGAGTTATGTTTGCTCAATTCCAGAATGACTTCTAATGAAGCATAACGTTTTTTTTAAAGAATAACTACCTATTGATACCTAGTCGTGTGGAGAATGGCACTTTGATCAATAGTCAAATATTGCATTGCTCAGAGAATAACTTCTACTTATATCAAAATTTCAATTCATTCTATAATATTTGATAAAGGAATTTTTAGGATTAAAGAATCATAAACTGGTGAACGAGTGATTAATTACGACGTGATTACTTTATTCTTTCTTTACCCGTAGAGTATGAACACATTGTTTAAACCGAATATCCAATGGTGAAAAGAGCACTTTGTATTCATTTTTTAAACGACTGACCGTATGCAATCTAATGTATGTCACTGAGATTCAATAGCGAAATGCATAAATTAGTTATACACAAAATGACACATCTGCTTTAATTTCATAGGTACAGATCCAAATAAATTCTACCACAATCTTCACTTGTTTCACATAAAGTAAGTATTAAAATTTGTTTACCATTATTTAACGTTTATGATTTCAACAGAAACTCTAAACTGGTTCTATATACTATCAATTGATTTGTAACAAAAGTAATACAAATTAGTATCCAATACTAGTCCATCAACTAACAAGAACAGGTTACTAGTTTACTGTACTCGAAACTAAAGTAGTTGAATAGCAAGTTCCTACTTTTGTATGCATATTAGCAATACTTACAGAGATAAGTAAGCGGTGTTAAAACAAACGTTCGTGGTAAGTAAAAATCTAATCTATTTACAAAATCTTGTACAAAAATGAAGTTTCATACATATATACAGACATATTACTATTAAGTAGTATATATTTACTTACGTAAATAAATGAATTAACAGCACAAATATCACAGGAACTATTCTTTTTACAAGAGAAGTAAAAACAAAAAAACCAAGGAACTAACCAATAAAATTTCGTTTGCGTGAATTAATATTGAAAAGTTTTTGTTTACATAAAATCACAAATTCATTATAACCTTCATTCATTAATTGTTTAAATAAATTCATATAAGTTGGTTTAATGCTTGTTTCAGGATTCGAATTAATCTCTATCCAGTTTAATAAAATAAGATAAGATGTATAACGTTGATCAATTTTATTAAAATTTAAAACTTTCGACCAGTTTTTATCGAATAGATTTAGTTCATTATATGTAGGATGACATATTTTAAGCCAACTTTTCCAATTCGGTGCATTAGTATTATTATTACATAAGTGAATAATATCCCATATATCATTATCTTGAATAGATCTATCTGAAAAAAGAAATAATGAATTGGTTTCTTTGACTTTTTGATTACATTCAGTGAAATTTGGTATATTTTTAACAGGGGATTGTATTTTTTCCAAAAATGATATAACATTCTTATGAATTGCTTCAGTTTCTCGTTTAGTTTCTTCAATTTTTGCATTTACAACATTTAATATATGTTTAGTTGTATTGTCCGTTGTTGAAGATATCGAAGGATGCCATAGATTAGGTAATAAAGCTTGATTTGATCTACGCTGTTGATGTAAATTTTTATCTGCTCGACGTTTTGTTATAATTTTAGGCTTACGAATAGATTCATGTTTTTGTTGCCGGATTTCAATATTATTATTATTATTTGTACATTGTTTTTTATGTGATGTGATTTGAGATATTTCTTCATCTGAATTAAGATAAGAGGAGGTACGTTTAATAGGTGTACCAAATTCTATAAAATTTTCAAATTCGTTTGCCAGTTTAAAGGTGGGTAGTGTAATAATATGATTAGGATCATTTAATTGGTCAGTCGTGGGCAAGCTATTTCTTCGTCTAACATGTCTTGACCATGGTTTTTTCAAATTCATCATTCTATCTAGACTACCGTTTCTAAATATCTTTCTTCTTGATTCATTTATAATTTGTTTAGGCTGATAATGATCACCTCCACTTCCATAATGTGTTTCAACATGATTATACTGTTCAGTAATAGGAAAATTTATATTCTGATTCAGTTGGTTCGGATGACAGATACTATTAGTTATTTCTGTGATAATAGAACAGAATTAAAGCGGGGAAAACAGTTAGAATTAAAACAGTATGATATTTTTAAAAAGAGAACTGAAACTACATATGTGGCTAAATAACAATTAGAAGCTAACTAAATGAACACAGTTAGTTATTGTAATATTATGTCGCATTAGTCTTAGCACATTTCTTAGAGATTTAGCGATCGATAACCCTAACCGAACTCTGTTTTCTTTTTTTAACAAGAATCCCAATATGCAGCATTATTGAATTAAACTTCATTTGTTATCGGTTAGACGTGAGTCAAAAATGCTTCTGCTCTTTCACATAGAAACATGATTCTACAAGTTAAATGAAACTAAACCCATACACAACATTCAGTATGAATTATCAAACTCTGCAGGCCAGATATTCGCGGCATCAGGTTGGTTTTCTCCGAAATCAAGACTCCACGCTTGAAGATATTTTTGTCCCAAACCAACGGAAAGCTCTGACTATTGAATAAAGAGCTAACTCGGTGCTCTTATGTAGGATAGTAGGACGTTGTTTGTAGGAAACTTTTGATTTAGACTTCGTATTAACTAACTCTCTTCGAAAAAGCCGTATGTACGGTTATGAAGAAGCTGATTCTCTCCGAGTTTACTGATTTCAGACGTTTAAGGAGCTTAAGTATCTACAATTCGATTTACACTTTAACAATACCTTCATATCTCCTATCAAAACCCTAATTTTTGACACCATACTTAAATTCTCTTCAAAGTCTTTTTTCTAGATCCAGACTACTGAGTGAAAAGAGAAGTACAACAACTGCAGAATAAAGATCAATATGAAGTGAATATCTTATAAATCTATAATTCGTCATTCTAACTATGTTCCCTACGATATCGAGTTCACACTTTAACTTGTAACTACATTGAAACTTGATTCATAGAGTTTGACCATAATTTTGGCTACTACCTAATGATTTCCATTGGCTTTAATAACGACTGATCGAATGATTAACTGACCTAGACATCGTATGGTTGGATTTAAAAGGATACGTTTCCATAATAGGTATTTTATAAAATTAATTATTTACCAACTTCAAATAATAAATAAATATTAATGTCAAGAAGAAGCTAGAACACATATTGTCACATAGCTGCTTTGATATCAAAAATTTCAGTGTAATTAAACTAGAGCTCAATAGAAGGTCACTATAGATTTTTTCAGGGTAAACTAATATTTGTGAATATTGAATGTAAATAATAACTTTGAAGTTAACCTGCTGGTTTACTCAATTACATAGATACTAAATCAATTCATCAGGATTGATTAGAATATAAAGATTAATAGCATTGGGTTAAATTAAACGTTAAAATTCTGTTTATAGTCGAATACAAATTTAAATGAGCAACTAAAGATTTAATGAAATGGAATTTTAAAAAAATCAGGTCAGTTTTAGTAAATAAGTTGAGTTGTCAACACAACTAAAAGACATTTATGTTATGTTATGTTTATATGTGTATATATGTTATGTGTATGTATGTTTGAACGTTTAACATATGAGATGAGAATGAAAAACATTTAAAGATTAGACAGATGTTAACTGATTACGTAATCTAAGCACTAGTAATTGATATTATTACCAAAATAATAAATTCTACGTGACAAGAACAGCAATTATGCTTGTTTAACATGAAATAAAAACTTATTTTGATACATGTACGAAAAACACGAAAATTTGTGACATAAATTCTTTCATACTGATTATCACAAAATAACCTCGATTAATCAATTTACCACATTGGAGCAGAAGAGTTGTGTTTGTATACTATTTGACAAACTCTATTAGTACTCCACGATGAATATAGTAATCTCACTAATTCAATCAATCAGTTATCCTTAAGATAAAAGAGAGGAAATTATGTGAAATACAATTTAAACAGAACGAATGAGATCGAAGGATCAGAAGTTAGGATTAACACATAGCTAAAATATAGATATAAAACCGTATTGTAGTTCGAAAGCTAACAATTCCAGCTGATTAGATAAATCTCCTCTGTATTTAAAATGATTAGATCTTAGTGACTTAGACAACAGATTTATAAGCAGTACGTACTAATGTCGAAAACACATTCATATATACCCTATGAAGGCAAAAATGTGTATGATTCATAGTCTCGTACACGTTATTGGAGGTGTTGCCAAATCGCATTGCTTTTAAACTGTTAAGTTCAAAGTAGTTGTAGTATTATTTTATTGGTGATTGCTTCGTACATATTTTTCCAAATTAAATTAAATTATGCTAGGGATCTAGAAAAATACAGAGCTTTATAATTTAGTAAAAAAAGGAAATATGAAAACGGCACTTAGCATTTATCACTTAAGTAACTTATATTCTGGTAATGGATAGATAGATTTCATCACTGACTGACGTCAAACTGAAGGAACATTGAAATTCAGGAAGTGTCAGTGAGGGGTTGTGGAGATTTTCATTGTAATCATGCACCGATATAAGTTAGACTATCATCAAAACCTGGTAGCATTGGGCGGCCGTTTCATCCTAGTGTGGACCTCCTCAGCAGTACATACCCACGGTCCTGAACATGAGACTAGAACCCGAGACCTTCGGTCTCGTGCGCGAATGCTTAACCTTTAGACAACTGAGTCAACATCCAACTGTATGGGACAGATATTGTGTCTTTGTTTTGAACTCTTTGGTAACAAACATCCAGGAATTTATAAGAAATCTAAACCAGAAAATCTACGCTTCATGACAAGAATGGTACAGTTGTTCGATGTTAACTTGTTTCCCCACTGTAAAATTATTTTGAATTGGATACCGTAGAATCAAAACTTGTGTGGAAGGTTATTCTTGATACTTCATTCACGTAAAAGTGACCACCACTGACTGAATCAAGTAAAATAAACACTGAGCTCCTGTTTTATGGTAATTTCGAATAGTCCATCAATACTGGAACCCAGATTCACTTAATATCTTATATTCCCCAAGTCTCCTAGAAAACAGTTCACCGCTAAACAATAGATTTAACAGAAATCATTACTTCTGAATTTTAGTTTGTCTTATTCATACTTAATTCATACACTATCTCCCTACAGATCTGAACCATTTTTTATCTACAATCTAAAGATATAAAGATGATGTGACGCATTACTTGATTAAAAAACTAATTATTCTTTTTGAATTGCTATTTTTCATATGAAGACTGGTGGAAAAACTTGATTGAACGGAAACTTCAAACTTACATCTCAGTAATTAGAGAAAAGGATGAGTGTCCGTGAACTTGTAGGAAATCTGCTTCTTATGGTTCTATATTTTTAGAATATCTGGCATTTTCCAGCTTATTTAGTAAATAAATGTTGCATATACAAACATAATTTTCACTGGGGATTTCATTTCAAGCTCTAACTTTTACTTCGTTTACTTTTTTACATCCAACAAATTGGAACGAACTACGGTGTCTTGTTCATAGACGACATATATAGATAGCTTTACATAACTTTAATGAAATCTCCAGTGAGAACTACACACTTATACACAAAAATGGCACACAAAATGAATGGAAAAATGCTCGGAAATACTAGATATCTTACTTCTAATAAGCACTAAAAAAAGTAAATACTTTTCCAAGAAATTTAGTAGAAACGTATTCCATAAGTTGAACGCTTTTATTATAAGAATTTGTGACTTATAGTGTTGACCATATTGAGTCCATATTGAAGTAAGTACTCACCATTGACATCTGTTGATGGTTATTCAGTACTGAACTATCAATCCTTTCTAGTTTTCATTCATAATGCAATTAATATTAGTTAATGTTAATGACTATCGTCACAGAGACTATTTAGTTTATTATTATCAAAAAATTTTCTACCAAAAGTCATACAATAATGACACACAGTATGATTACAATCTTTGATTAGTTGATGAGTTGGATTTTATTCTTCTATATTACTTTATAAACTTTTACATCTATTTTCAGTAATATCATAATTATAATAAGCGATCATTATTTAAATGAAATCCTTTTCATACAAACATAATGAGTCATTTATGGTTAACAACATGAAATTTTTTACCAGTCATATTTCGTTTCCATAATGTATCTTTCATTAATTGTAAAATGAACATATGTTTACATTATCATTATTTAAATATATAAAGTTTATAGATAAAATTGTTTACATATACAACATATTGTATACATTATGTGAATAGTTATGTTATATAGTTGAGATCATGAGTCAATTGAAGCTAGACCAACATGGAAAACCTGGAAGCATTGGACGGCCGTTTCGTCCTATTGTGGGACTCTTTAGAAGTGCGCATCCACGATCCCGGACGAAACGGCTGTACAGTGATTCCAGGTTTTCCATGGTGGTCTAGCTTCAATTGACTCATGATTTCAACTATATAAAATGACTAAAATCTCCACAAAACCCCCCTTATGAGAATAGTTATGTGTTTAATGTGAGTAAACAAGCACAAATTTAACTGCTTTTGTTTTTTTAAGTAATAAAAAACAACATAAACTAATTCATAACCTATTAATTAGTTTTAAAGTAAACGAATTTAATTAATATGACAATCACTGAGATGGATACAACATGTTCATATTTTTTAAAAACCTGTTTTAAAAAAATTAATCTCGGATTATTTATATTGTTTCGAAATTACAACAGTACTGATACACATTTCTATGATGAATTGGTGCATGAAATTAGAATTGTTTAAATTACTATTATCAAGTGAAATATCACACTAACGGTGATAATGATAATAGTGAATGCTTTAAAGAGAAAGATGATAAAATTATGTAGCTATTCAACACGTGATAGAAAAAAAATAACAGGATCTATCATTGCTATAAATGACCTTTCAACAAGTGGAAACTTGTTTAACAATAATGACAACAATAAAGTTTAATAATGATGATAATATAAACAATTCTTGTAAATCATAGTTCTCTATGATCACGTGGTTCAATCAAATGAACAGAATCATATATAGATATATTCTATTGCGTTGTACATTGACTTATATTTCTTCTTATGAATCTCATATATACATATGAAACATTAACATGTTAAAACTTGACGATTACTTATTAAGTATCATTTAATTTACTTTGAATTTGCATCAGTCATAAGATTAATGTGAACAGAAAAAAGGAGCATGGAAAAACAGGCAGTCTGTAATTAATCAAATAGTTGATAAGGAGCGTATGCTTTGATTTATATATGTATCAGACCGAGTTTCTACATTTATTAATTTGCATAGTAAGTGAGAAAATTACTGAACCAAAAGGCAAAACGAAACCAAAACAACACTAACAGCAATAGAAAGTCATATATATATATATATATATATATATATATATATATATATATATATATACTCCATCGAATAGTAGTTCTGTGTTGATGAGCAATACCTAGGTAACACTTAGCCCAAAAAAGGTAAGCTGATATTTACGCATATAGTTATGTATCCCTGTCGACACGAAAAATACGAAATACCCGTGAATGATATAATTACAGTATATACCATTATTCAACCACCAATAAGGAAAACAGTCGACTCACTTTGAGGTTGACAAATTCGCTCTGAAACAGAGGACTCATCATCATTAAAGTATATGTAAGATTTTGGATGATTATGGTGATAACAATCTGAAAACATTTTAAAATCATTTAAGTATTTGTTCGGTTGTGATAGATTATCAGGAATCTCATTTTTATTTCGTGAGGCTGTATAAAGGATACTTGCAACTTGAGATAAGCATCCACCAAACTTTTGAAACTTAGATAGTAATAAGCAAAATATTCTTCTTGGTGTCATTAAGTTTGATTCTGATATAGTTGAGTCATTAACATAGTATTCAGTTTGTGAGAGTGTTTCATTTATTTCATGGATTTCCTTTGAAGTAAAACCAAGTAACTCTGCGAAACGATGCCATCTGAATGGTGAATGAAGGTACCCGTACAGTGCTATGTAACATTCAAAGAGAAATTAAAGAATAGTTTTAATCTCAAAATTTATGGTAGTAAGCTTTACGTATAATTTAAAGCTGATTTATAATAATTGGTTATATCAACTAAGGAACTACTAAGAGCCTAAGAGCAATAAGAGCTAGTATAAATATGTTATCGTAAGCGTAAATTTCAGCTGTAAGCCATTTAAAAGTAAATTCTAGAACCTCTATTAACTAAAAGCAGACGACAAATACATAAATCATGGTATGACTGTATTATAAATCTATTGAAATCATGAATCAATAATCCCAAAATTGTACTGTAGGGTTCACTGTTTGATGTTCACCAGATAAAAATGATAGATTTTTATTATTAACACATTTAAAAAAATATTTAAACGCGTCTCAAGAATCTAGCAGTGTATAAAGTATGGGTAAAACTGTGATTAGAAAATAATGATACTGTGCTGTGTGTTGTTTGCTCGTAATTATGTATTGTTTCTAAGTTTGTTTGAATAATCACCAACATTTTCTGACACCACTTATTACTTTTCATGAAAAAACGAACGATTAAATGAAATGAGATTGTTTTGTAGCATACACTCAATTCAGTTCGAATAAATGTGCTTACAGATATTTTTAAAATGTTAACATAAGATGAAGAATAGTTTAAAATGGTGGAGCAATAAACAGCTGTTCCCTTATTTTTTTTCAATATTTATGACAAAAACCTGAGAGATCTGCAAACTGTTGTAAAGCTTTTACTGTTATCTTTAAACATGATAAAATTATCATCGAATAAAGTATCCTAATTTTTAATTTGCGAATAATAACTTACATGCTAGGTCATAGAGGCTTTCTACAGTCCACGAACTTCCTCTTTTCAAAAACGAGCTTTCAAAATTCTGTTTTGAAGATAAATAAAAGTGAAAAAGTGGAAAAATGGTATGCATATCAGTAAGCAACTGTTCTGAAATGTACATTCTTATTGAGTATTTATCAGTTCATCTCATTAAACCAGTGAACATTTGCAAATTACTAAATACTGGCTATCAAACAGGTTATTTCGTCTTAAAAATTTGTGTAGATGAGATGAATTCGTTTAAAAATATGGGTATTTTAGCTCCTTCCTGTAGACTAAAAACGACTTAGAAGCATAGTCAGCTTAAAGGCACGTCTGTGTAAGCGTATAGTTCATAATACAGTGCTACAGGTAATGTCAGTCAGTCACTTAACCACCACTAACGTAAAGTATGGCACAGATACGTTTTGGCTCAAGCTGCCATATCAAGCTATTACGACAAGATAAAATAACCAAATCAAAATAAGGTGACAAAAATGAAAAATAGTGGACATCAAGAACGAGGTTCAAAAAGATAGAGTTGAATGGTATATATGAAGGAATACAATAATTCAGTATCGGGATGGAGATATGGATTGAATGGACTAGGAGCACTATAAATAATTCTGAACCACATTATCCAGTCTTCGGTCACTGTTCGCGGTCACCATGTGGACTTTAACCAGGTAATCCTTATCTGCCAGCATGGTTAAACCAACAGTCATTGACTTCATAGACTAATACCCCATTGCGAATCGCCTCTCCCTGATTTTCTTACAACCCACCTGTATACTTGCTAACATCTCTCGTCTAGGTGGGTGTTGACTGATGACTCTTAGTGTGTCTCAACTACCTCATCAATGAATATTCATATTCACGAAATATGCTGTGAACACAAGTAACTGAAACAAAAATAAACTGTCCGTATGGAGAATTAAAATTTTGAAATATCCCCAGGTATCGGGGTGAAATGTGTTCAGAGCATAATGTGAACACATCTAATATACAAAGATTACAACAGTGATAATCTTACCAGATCCAGTTTAACTTCAAAAATTGTTTGGAAGATTGAGTTACTGGAATGTTTTCTGATTATAAGTTTTCCAAAGGATGATTCATTTAATTCTGCCATTTGCAGCATTTGGCATTTTATTGTTTTAGCTACTGACTGATCATCTTCCGGTACCTCAATATGGTGGAATTTCGTCTCTCCTAAATGACTTTTTACACGTAGGTAGTTTGATTCCAGTACCACTGTCATTTTGTCACCTGGAGTAACTGTACAAATAAACTCAGCTTCTCCAACCTGAAAAGTATTCGTCGACAAAAGCAAAATCCTTACAAATAGATACAGACTTCAAAGTCAGTATATTGTTGGATACTGATTACCTTACTTTAGACCATTAAGGCAAAACAGTTTGTATTTGTGAACTTATTATCAGGAAACACCAGATAATTGTGATAGGCAGTCACGCTGATATGCATAGTTTAGCTTATAATAGAAACTCAGTTATTGTTTTTTTAATATTTTATTGCCACAATGCAGGTTTTCAAAAAATTAAAAAGAACACGGTCAATTAAATAAAATGTCGCTCAAATTAAATTAATTCACCACTTACGTTTATATACAACATGTTATATTGACACATCATTTCACAAATCTCTTACACACTAATACATATACCTTGTTTGGACATTTTTAACGTTGATTGGATGACCTATTCAGCGTACAATGAAACGAAGAACCATGTACCTATTTATATTTGATAATTATGATGTTTGATTGCAATTTCTTGAAGAAGCTTGGACCAGATTGCCAGGCGAAACGTTGGATTTACTTTAAATTCATTCGCTGAGATTTTACAAATATATTCTTATTTAATGTCTTACATCAACTCGGCGCTCAAATACTGTGAAACTATTTGCTCTAATTTAGACGAAAGTTCTTATATATTAAATTAATTTTGTTACGTCGAATAAAATAGCTGAGTGAACAGTGGATATCTAGAGCAAAATGAAGGTGATTTAAGGTCATTCATATGTCTTACAGATTTTAGAAGTCATGGTAAGACAAAACGAAAAAGATATCCACCAGATACTTTTAGATATTACCGAAGTAAATGGTCTTGATATTTTTATTTCTAGACAAAACGTAAAAAACAACAAGATCCTTAAAATTTGAAGTTAGAGTCAGTGAAAAATGTCCTACAAAACTTGTTTTTTGATAGAATCGAACAAGGAAAAGGCAAAAGCATCCTACAGGATAAAATAAATTCATTTTGTTTCGACGGCAACCATCAATTAAAAACACTTTAAAATTGCATATTTTAATACAATCACGCGTAAACAATTAGCACACTTGAGTTAGCGGAGTTAAATTGGGGATTAATATCACTGAAGTTCTATTACCAGACTCAACAATTTCGTTGGTTTTACCTGATTTTAAACATAGGTTTATGTTTATTCCTAAAACTACTTTATAATGAGAGAAACAATGAATAGTACCAGACATAATTATTACCAATGCATTTTTGTATTGGAAGGATATATCAATACTCATTAAACGTATCGATATGTAACATCGGACTTTGCTTCTTTTTCCTCACTATATTTTTTGGTTTCGTCTAGAATCTTGTTTTCGATTCTTCTTTCAAGCCAAATTTTATTTAAATTGGTCAAAAACAAAAAGTGGACCGTGTGACATTAGTTAACATTCTGTCTCACGAAAAATGTGTATCTCTGTTTAAAAATTTTACTTATGCTGAATAGGCTTTAACTCATAATGAAAAAAACAAGTTGGAATATCAACAATGAATTTGGATGATAATTTCATTGTAAATATAACTTGTTAACAATTACAAATCACATAAAAATACGATCAAAGCTTTTATAGCAGTTTATGCATGATAAAAAACAACGGATGATGTTGTTTGACTAAATGGATTTCTAAAAACCCTCTTTTATTTTAAAGTAACTAGGAAGGTATAGACACAACAAAACTTAAGGTTTAGTTCATTATTTTTTTGGCTTAATTGCTTTACTTTAAAAACAGCATCAAAAATATATTGTGATTGGTTTGGAGTGAAGGAGTATGGATAACGTCTGTAACTCTGCATACTATTAGTCATCGCTTATCTGTTTTTATGGGCTGCAAATGAATCATCTCAAAATAACATTTATCTTTTAGCTGTTCGCATAATTATGAGCTTTAGCGACGATAATTTGAGAGCAAAAGCTTGTAACAGTTTGCATAGTGTCATCATATTCTAGCAAAACGTTTACACAGCATGTAAGATTTTTCACCCGCTTTAGATAAAAGTTATCAAAAAAATCTTGTAGGTCCAGTGGAACGTCACTGGGGCCTAGCCAAACTATCTGGCAGTCAGGTCACTAAATGCCGAACAATCTACCGACCCTCGTCATGATCAAGGACAAGCATTACTCATAAACCAAGTACACATCACAAGTAGGCGCATGTGAAAATGGTCACATTATAATTCTTGTTTCTATTCCTACCAATACATTACTGAAATACAGTATGTTTGTACTATACAGTCACCAAAGTGGCCACAGTATATGTAGATGACTAAAGGTTAACCCAAGTAAGATAGCAACCGCGGGTATCGACTTCACAGTAAGTTAGGAGATCACACTGTTTCTGCATAATCTGAGCAGGCCCAAGATCATACACAAAGATTGCCTAATTCTGTGATCTACTGTCTTCAACATAATCATACCCTAACGCAAAAATTGTAAATGATATCAATGAGGCTGATTAACTCATCACTAGAGACCTATAAAATAAATGTCAATGATGAGAGTCAAATGATTTTTATCTACACTTTCAGCCAATTTCAACTTAAACGTTTAATATTTCAGAGTTTTTCCTACAGGTCGATGATGTACTACGACAGAACATTCCAGCTTAGGTTGTTTAGAGATGAACATGAAGAAGCTTCGCGAGGCCTGCAAAAATGTGCATCAAACTTTGCTGTAAATTTTGTTTTGTTTATTCTGATTATTCACTAGACCACCGATACACTGTGAGTCGTACCAAAAAAATATAAAGTAAATACGATGTTTCCAACAAAACAATTGTCATGAAGTAAGAGATTTTAGGCAAAAAAAATTAAAAACATCAGAAATTAAATGTTTTGTAGTAATACTTTTACTTGCCTTTCGCCATATACCGAGTAAGCTTAGTGGAACTGAAGTATTCTGAACACATATACAAAGAAAGCATATGTCATCTTCACTCGAAAGCCTCAAATAGACAGTAAATCTCATATTTCTGCTATTTTTATAGACTGTGTTTATTTTACGTCAATACAACGAATAGCATCACGAAGCTTCATGACATGTTTAATATCCAGTAGAAATAAAGTATTGATGCCGCTCTGAGTTACCAATGAGATGAACAGAACATCCGATGCCAACCGACACTTTCTTGAAAAGAGTATCTCGAACGTATATTTGATTGTAAGCTTTGATTTAAATTCAGACAATAACAGGACTATTGTGACAAGCGATACAATGTATACTAATCATATGAGTGCGGTTTTAGAATTTCTTGTATCTGATACGGTTAAACAAAATTATATTGGACATAAAGCTAGGATCATACAGTTAATTCTTATCAGTCAGCCTGTAAATCAAAATGAGAAGCCTTATTTCTTATTTTTCTCACGATTTCGACGTCCACAAACAGTAATGCCGAGACCTACGTAGCCACTTAGTTCATCGACGTAGAGAAGAAAATCGGGAGACCTATGATTGTGCCTTGGGGTACGCCACCCTTGATCAGCTCCCATTCCGTAGTGTCTCACTTACCGCCACATTTTTTCTTCGTCTTCAGAGGAAGTTTTTTATTCATTCTTGTGCACACCGTCATTATAAAACTCATGAACCCCTTCATAGACCCTAAGTGAGAAGCCTTATCGAATGCTTTGCTATGAGCTATGAATATCAGATCAAGAGATGAACCGTTATCTTTTGTAGTTGTCCAATCCTCTCTTGCGTCAGGCAAAAATACTTATTGCAAATCCACGGCTCTCAGGAGCTAACATATTGTATTGTTTTAATGAACCTTTTAATTTAACTCGGATTATATTTTCAAATAACGTAACTACTATGGTGGTTGGAATGAGAAATCGTTCGTTAGACAAGATCTATCTCTGTCCAAATTTTATTAAAGAACTAACTTTGGCAACTTCCCGACTCTTAGGGACAGCATTGTGGATGGTCCTGAAATAATGTCTGCGAGAGGTGATAACTGTCGTGGATGTAACCCATCAGAACCCGATGTCTCATCAGGTCTGAAGTTGACCATCAAAATGAAGAACAACTTCCTCAGTCATACGACAGTGATAATATATTTCCGACAGACAGAAACACGCCATTTTTGAAGGTATGGTCAATAATTTTGATCATTGGTTTACAGATGAGGTGGGGAAAACATGGTAGTGGAAAAAAGAGGACCAAATGAGTAGGAGTGTGTTGGGATATAAACACTGAATGGTTTGTAGTGGAACATACAAATGTATGGTGAATTAGTAAATAAAACACATACTAGCTTCGATAACTAGAATGAAATATAGTTAAAGTGTCTTCAAATAAGAGAATATACTGACAAAGAACAATGCTTTGTAACGTGTAACAAGATTGAACGGGATCATTTGAAATAGGAAATGTAGAAGTTAGGATCGGGAAATTTGTTCATTGAAACCAAAAGTGCGTCAGAGGGAAGAAAAGTGTTCATAAGTGTCAACAAATCTATCTATTATTATATTTTATCTTTTTAACTATTCTCGCTTTTCTCATTTAGTCCTCATCGATAAGTGATGATATAAATCCTGGGTTAGCATGTTGTAGATTAGCTCAGTCGAATGGCGAATCCAGCATAAAATTAGGAACGTGAGGCTGATTAGGGAGCATTGGAGAACAACCTCAGTATTAAGAATTGATTAGCTCTTCGTCAACCATAAAGAATGAATCATCTCAAAATAACATTTATCTTTTAGCTGTTCGCATAATTATGAGCTTTAGCGACGATAATTTGAGAGCAAAAGCTTGTAACAGTTTGCATAGTGTCATCATATTCTAGCAAAACGTTTACACAGCATGTAAGATTTTTCACCCGCTTTAGATAAAAGTTATCAAAAAAATCTTGTAGGTCCAGTGGAACGTCACTGGGGCCTAGCCAAACTATCTGGCAGTCAGGTCACTAAATGCCGAACAATCTACCGACCCTCGTCATGATCAAGGACAAGCATTACTCATAAACCAAGTACACATCACAAGTAGGCGCATGTGAAAATGGTCACATTATAATTCTTGTTTCTATTCCTACCAATACATTACTGAAATACAGTATGTTTGTACTATACAGTCACCAAAGTGGCCACAGTATATGTAGATGACTAAAGGTTAACCCAAGTAAGATAGCAACCGCGGGTATCGACTTCACAGTAAGTTAGGAGATCACACTGTTTCTGCATAATCTGAGCAGGCCCAAGATCATACACAAAGATTGCCTAATTCTGTGATCTACTGTCTTCAACATAATCATACCCTAACGCAAAAATTGTAAGTGATATCAATGAGGCTGATTAACTCATCACTAGAGACCTATAAAATAAATGTCAATGATGAGAGTCAAATGATTTTTATCTACACTTTCAGCCAATTTCAACTTAAACGTTTAATATTTCAGAGTTTTTCCTACAGGTCGATGATGTACTACGACAGAACATTCCAGCTTAGGTTGTTTAGAGATGAACATGAAGAAGCTTCGCGAGGCCTGCAAAAATGTGCATCAAACTTTGCTGTAAATTTTGTTTTGTTTATTCTGATTATTCACTAGACCACCGATACACTGTGAGTCGTACCAAAAAAATATAAAGTAAATACGATGTTTCCAACAAAACAATTGTCATGAAGTAAGAGATTTTAGGCAAAAAAATTAAAAACATCAGAAATTAAATGTTTTGTAGTAATACTTTTACTTGCCTTTCGCCATATACCGAGTAAGCTTAGTGGAACTGAAGTATTCTGAACACATATACAAAGAAAGCATATGTCATCTTCACTCGAAAGCCTCAAATAGACAGTAAATCTCATATTTCTGCTATTTTTATAGACTGTGTTTATTTTACGTCAATACAACGAATAGCATCACGAAGCTTCATGACATGTTTAATATCCAGTAGAAATAAAGTATTGATGCCGCTCTGAGTTACCAATGAGATGAACAGAACATCCGATGCCAACCGACACTTTCTTGAAAAGAGTATCTCGAACGTATATTTGATTGTAAGCTTTGATTTAAATTCAGACAATAACAGGACTATTGTGACAAGCGATACAATGTATACTAATCATATGAGTGCGGTTTTAGAATTTCTTGTATCTGATACGGTTAAACAAAATTATATTGGACATAAAGCTAGGATCATACAGTTAATTCTTATCAGTCAGCCTGTAAATCAAAATGAGAAGCCTTATTTCTTATTTTTCTCACGATTTCGACGTCCACAAACAGTAATGCCGAGACCTACGTAGCCACTTAGTTCATCGACGTAGAGAAGAAAATCGGGAGACCTATGATTGTGCCTTGGGGTACGCCACCCTTGATCAGCTCCCATTCCGTAGTGTCTCACTTACCGCCACATTTTTTCTTCGTCTTCAGAGGAAGTTTTTTATTCATTCTTGTGCACACCGTCATTATAAAACTCATGAACCCCTTCATAGACCCTAAGTGAGAAGCCTTATCGAATGCTTTGCTATGAGCTATGAATATCAGATCAAGAGATGAACCGTTATCTTTTGTAGTTGTCCAATCCTCTCTTGCGTCAGGCAAAAATACTTATTGCAAATCCACGGCTCTCAGGAGCTAACATATTGTATTGTTTTAATGAACCTTTTAATTTAACTCGGATTATATTTTCAAATAACGTAACTACTATGGTGGTTGGAATGAGAAATCGTTCGTTAGACAAGATCTATCTCTGTCCAAATTTTATTAAAGAACTAACTTTGGCAACTTCCCGACTCTTAGGGACAGCATTGTGGATGGTCCTGAAATAATGTCTGCGAGAGGTGATAACTGTCGTGGATGTAACCCATCAGAACCCGATGTCTCATCAGGTCTGAAGTTGACCATCAAAATGAAGAACAACTTCCTCAGTCATACGACAGTGATAATATATTTCCGACAGACAGAAACACGCCATTTTTGAAGGTATGGTCAATAATTTTGATCATTGGTTTACAGATGAGGTGGGGAAAACATGGTAGTGGAAAAAAGAGGACCAAATGAGTAGGAGTGTGTTGGGATATAAACACTGAATGGTTTGTAGTGGAACATACAAATGTATGGTGAATTAGTAAATAAAACACATACTAGCTTCGATAACTAGAATGAAATATAGTTAAAGTGTCTTCAAATAAGAGAATATACTGACAAAGAACAATGCTTTGTAACGTGTAACAAGATTGAACGGGATCATTTGAAATAGGAAATGTAGAAGTTAGGATCGGGAAATTTGTTCATTGAAACCAAAAGTGCGTCAGAGGGAAGAAAAGTGTTCATAAGTGTCAACAAATCTATCTATTATTATATTTTATCTTTTTAACTATTCTCGCTTTTCTCATTTAGTCCTCATCGATAAGTGATGATATAAATCCTGGGTTAGCATGTTGTAGATTAGCTCAGTCGAATGGCGAATCCAGCATAAAATTAGGAACGTGAGGCTGATTAGGGAGCATTGGAGAACAACCTCAGTATTAAGAATTGATTAGCTCTTCGTCAACCATAAAGAATGAATCATCTCAAAATAACATTTATCTTTTAGCTGTTCGCATAATTATGAGCTTTAGCGACGATAATTTGAGAGCAAAAGCTTGTAACAGTTTGCATAGTGTCATCATATTCTAGCAAAACGTTTACACAGCATGTAAGATTTTTCACCCGCTTTAGATAAAAGTTATCAAAAAAATCTTGTAGGTCCAGTGGAACGTCACTGGGGCCTAGCCAAACTATCTGGCAGTCAGGTCACTAAATGCCGAACAATCTACCGACCCTCGTCATGATCAAGGACAAGCATTACTCATAAACCAAGTACACATCACAAGTAGGCGCATGTGAAAATGGTCACATTATAATTCTTGTTTCTATTCCTACCAATACATTACTGAAATACAGTATGTTTGTACTATACAGTCACCAAAGTGGCCACAGTATATGTAGATGACTAAAGGTTAACCCAAGTAAGATAGCAACCGCGGGT